TAGGTTCGCGGCCGAATGTGAAGCGGCTGGGATGAGGATCAGCACCTCCAAATCTGAGACCATGGTTCTCGACCGGAAAAGGGTGGCTTGCCACCTCCGGGTCGGGGGAGAGGTCCTACCTCAAGTGGAGGAGTTTAAGTATCTCGGGGTCTTGTTCACGAGTGAGGGTAGGAGGGATCGGGAGATCGACAGGCGGATTGGTTCGGCGTCTGCAGTGATGCGGACGCTGAGCCGATCTGTCGTGGGGAAAAGGAAGCTGAGCCAGAAAGCCAGGCTCTCGATTTACCGGTCGATCTACGTCCCAATCCTCACCTATGGTCATGAGCTTTGGGTAATGACCGAAAGAACGAGATCGCGGATACAAGCGGCCGAAATGAGTTTCCTCCGTAGGGTGGCCGGGCTCAGCCTTAGAGATAGGGTGAGGAGCTCGGACATTCGGGAGGGACTCGGAGTAGAACCGCTGCTCCTCCGGATCAAAAGGAGCCAGTTGAGGTGGTTTGGGCATCTGGTCAGGAAGCCTCCTGGACGCCTCCCCGGGGAGGTGTTTCGGGCATGTCCTGCCGGCAGAAGGCCCCCGGGTCGACCCAGGACACGTTGGAGAGGTTACATCTCCAATCTGGTCCAGGAACGCCTTGGGGTCCTGCCGGAGGAGCTGGTGGACAAGGCCGGGGAGAGGACGGCCTGGAGCTCCCTAGTTGGGATGCTGCCCCCGCGACCCGGACCCGGATAAGCGGAGGAAGACGAAGAGACGAAGACGAAGCGCAATGTCAATGGGGACTGGACTTTGTGTCTTTACTTTAGCTAAAGGTTTTATGCATTGTTCGCTCCGACTAATGTTCTAAACTGGTTTTTAATAAAGTTTTAGAGAGCTGACTTAGCCAACACCGCTTAAAGTTCCTCATGAACCACACAAAGGAAAGCAGAAACTATTCTGAACCAAGTTCAAAACATCCAAAATTCACAACTTCAGATATGTGCAAATATCTGACGTAAAGCACCTTCGGGTTAAGGCTGCACAGCATGTAGCAAATGTGCACAATAACAAATAAGGACTTTATGGACTGCAATAAATTATTAGATTATCTAAATTGTATTTTTTCCCCAATCCAACAGGCTCCCTCTGCCGTTGGTGCCCACAGCTGGTTGAGATGAAAGCGGCTGAGAAGCTAAAACACAAAGGGAAGAAGAAAATGTGGCTTTTGCAACAAATATCATTTGAATACTCAAAATAAATAATATGGTGCAATTACATGTTTTTGTAACAAAGTGGCAAAAATTTGTGCAATAAAGTAAAATGACCAATAAAGGAATACTTTGTTAGCGTGCCCATTGTTTAAATTAATTTTTTGTCCCATTAAAGGCCCCGTGTGTGAAATTCACAGAAATCATAGTAAAAAGATCCGACTCTTTAGCACCACGCAGTTTAGAGTCGGTATTGCAGCTATTGGAGCCCCCGAGGATCAAAAAGGGTTTTTTTAATCATTATTTAAAACTTTATTAACAAATATAACAAATACAATACAAAATCGTGTTGCTGTAAACGGCAGCATGTCATCATCTAATTCCAGCTTTCAAGTCAGCGAACAGGTTAGTTGTTTTCATCTAACTTATTTTATTAATTTAATCTAAATAGGTTTTGAATAAGAAAAACTTTTTAATGTCAGTTATGTTTGCTAATAGCAAACGGCAGCTAGTTAGTGATGACTTCTGACTACAAAAAATGACAATATTTTGTTCATTTTATTTGAGAAATGTTATATTTCTATTTGCCATTTTGGAAATATACAAGGTAGTGTAGTCTGTAATTGTTTTCTCTCCGTAAACAGAGTCAGATATCATCCGATGGTTCATCAGTGAAGACAGACAGAGGACGAGGGAGAGGAAGAGGGCGAGGAAGAGGGAGAGGAAGAGGGAGAGGACAGACGTGTGCCAGCGCACAGAGAGGCAGAGGTGTTAGACATGCGACAGAAGCAGGGCAAGCATCCCAAGATGAAGGAGCCGAATTTGCTCAAACCAGCCGCAACGTTCCACGCACAAGAGGAAGAGGCAGAGCTGCAATAAAGTCTAGAAGATCGGCGCTTTCAAGCGCTTTCAAACTATCCCGTTTCTCAAGTTTGCTTGTAGAATATGTGTGATCCTCCATCGCTAGAAGTACGGTGTGGCTAGTTTCTTCTTCTTCTTAGTTACTTTGTCAGACTGCATGCTTACAAGGCGCACTTCTGCCCCCTGCTGTTTCTTTGAGGTTACATCATTTAAAAACGCAAACATCAAATGCGAAGCTTAATATGTTGTATGTCCCTAAAAGGTCACTGTATTTTAAGATGGCGCATGCCATATGGAGCACCGGTCTGCTTCTTTTGTCTAAAATATTAAAATATAAAGCTAATAATAATGCTTAGAATAAATGCTTGTTTGAATTATCATTAAAAAAAAACAAATTTGAGAATGTGATACAAGAAATTTGATAACTTATAAGATGAAATATCACACATTGGGCCTTTAAGACATAATTTATCTGTAGTATAGCTAATAGGGATGTGTATTGGTGAAATTCTGGCGATAAGATTCTCATCACGATACAGGGGAGACGATACGATATATCACGATATATTGCGATACATTCAGTCGGGACGATATTAGCGATTTTTTTAGGAAAATTTTGTAGGAAAATTCAATAAACGGTCCAAACTGATACTTAACATGATTAACATGAGATATCTGAACCATAATAGAGGGATTTACATTTAAGTGGTGGAAACAAACTCCACTGCACACTACTGCTGACTAGCGGACGTTTGCACCAAAAATAAAGAAAATACACAAATGTTTGCACGTAATTTCTTCCAAAAAAGATCGATACACAGCTTTTGAACATCGATTTAATATCGCAGGAAAATATATCGCGATATATTGCTAAATCGATATTTTCTTACATTACTAATAGCTATGGTATTATTTCATGTTGGAGCTGAATGCAACAATAATCCATACAATGTTTTTTTTTACTTAATCACACCTGAAATAAATAAAAACACTTTAAAAATGCCATTCTTTATTAACTCTCCTTTAATTTTAAGGCATAGAAAAAAGAATTTCAAAGATGCAAACTTGAGCCGTCCCAATAAACCAATAAAATAACGAATGTCTCTTTGCTCCAGGAACTCAAGCCCTTATCCAATCAGATAGCCACCACCTAGTAAATCATTAGAAAGCTCCAGAACAAGAATGCATCACAAGCCCACTGACAGTCATCACATGATATTCGAAAGTAATGAAATGCTCATTAAGACCCAAAGTAATTCATCAAGTTACCCAAATATCAGGTGCAAAGTATTTGATTAAATGCCTCATTTTAATCCTCAGGACTTAGTACTTTATTACAATCAAACAACAAGCAGAATTTGATGGTGTGTTAGAACAAAATCAGAGAAGAAACCACTTTAAACAGCGAGCCTGCCTGTCGTAAAGCAATTTAGCTCGCCACATAAGTAGAGCATCAATAATTCAACATCTACGCAGAAATCACCCGATCCACTCATCCGCTCTACAAAAACCAACCGACAGAAGACGTGTTGTTGAGTTTAACAGTAAAACTGTTGCTACAATGGACAGAAATGAAACCTCAAATGAACAAAACTTGTCAGACTACATGTTTAGGCGTACATACACAAGTTTCTATGTTTTAATTTTGACACGTTGAAGATAAAAATGACAAAATTTCATCAACTACTTGCAGACATGTGAAAATCTGACTAAAAATTCATGTTTTCTTTGTCAGCCGCCAATACAGCAACTGCTTCTTAAGAATAAAAGTGTGTTTAACGGCTTCCTTGCAAACAGGCGGCCAACCTTTACTACTAGCACTCAGAAAACGCACCGAGGGGAAGTTTTACTTCAGTATCATCGATCTGATTCCACTCCGAGTGTCTCGTCACATCTCGCATGAGAACTAACTGACAAACTCAACTTTCAAACAAAACAACCCTCTGGTGTGACTGCTGGAAATATAGATGTAGAGGAGGAGGAGGAGCAAGTCTAGGAAAACTCCAGCCTCTGCATTTCAAAAGGGGCACGCCCGTGGTGTGTTCAGGAACCCCATCATTACAGGGACTCACAAATGATAGCCCCGCTTAAAACAACTCACTGCTTTCAGAAAAAAACTGCTAGGATTGAAGCAAAAGGAAAAAGATCAAACTTATGTTCTGTTATTTTGGTCCTTGTCTTTTCGTTTTACAAAGTGGACATTTTTTTTACCCTGTCCAAACTTGTCCACAATCTCTCCCATCTCTGTTTCAACAGGTCAGAGCAAACATGACCACAAGGTATACACAGAAAAATGCTAGGCATGTCGTTACTATGATCAGAAAACAACTAGGGCATTATTTTGGTACGGAAACACTTTCAGGACAGGTTGATGTCAGAGGGTTTTTAACATTAAACTAAAACTACAGAAGCAGCTTTATTCTACCTATGACCAGATCTCCAACCAGAGTTTAATTTAAAGTATAACATCTGACACAAAACAACAAAAACCTCAAGAAGTGTACAGTTTCCCAACTGAAGACCAAATAAGCAACCATCAATAGTAATTATCCATCAGGGTGCCCTTTTCCTGCTATAGTAGTTTAAAAAGATCAAAATCTTATTTTATCGATGTTTTGGAGACAGAATTAATCAGAACTTTGACAAAAGATGGAAAAACTTTTGTCAGGGAAACACAATACCATACAACACCTGCTACCTTCCTGAGATCAATCGGCCTCTGGTCAGACTGAGTCTGTTGTAAGAAATTCTCCACACCAGGGTCGGAAGAGTGAAGCAACACTTGTGCTTGAACCACACCCCACAGGTCCAGAGCCACACAACTGGTTCTGGCTTTTGTGCTGCCTACCTGCGCAACCTGGCAGACTAAATCAAAACACACCTGCTGAGATTTCACACTAAACTTCAAACAAAATCGTCCAAAATGTCAAATCTGCCACGATTAAAAAAATGGTTACCTGGAAGATCCGCGCAGGTATCACCGTCCCCAGAGAGTGGGCGGTTTCGGGCGTATTAGATAACGGAAACTGGACTTTGACCCAAGCTTTGCGGTTGCGGTAATGATCCGGGGACTTCCGTATTCCCTCACCTGTCCCCAGTACACCTTGCCACGAGAAAGAAACCTGGCAGAAAAGCTAGGTGAAGTGTTCGAATGTAGCAATTATTTACGACCCAATTTCATCTAAACACCTAGAAGACACAGCCGTCTCGCGAGCACAACACCCAACTGTTTGGTCTAAACAGCTACTTTATTTTTAGACCCGCATCCGTTTTTATTTCCGCCACTTTGACGCCTTTAATAAAAGTTTCCACAAGTTACTCATCAACCAATCGAGGAGACATCATATGTTAGCGGAGCTAGCTTGTGCTAACCGCGGTTACAACAACCTCGAGTCTCCTGAATGAAAACCGCAGCTTATTTCTCCTTCCGCCAAAACTCGCAGAAACCAGAGGAGAAGCCTTTACCGATTCCGCTGACAGTTAGGTCGGGTTTTTAAAGTCCATAGGTGTTTACGGCTTCAGGCCTAGCCGACTTCTGCTGCCGCTGCGGCGGCGGCACAATCCCACGAGCTCGAGCAGCAAGGCTTGAACGAAGAGTCGGGATAAGACAAGAAAAACACCTCGGTGTCGTCGAAGTTAGAGCCGAGCGAACTGGAGCACCGCGAGGAGGCACAATGAAGCACGGAGGAGGAGAAAACACCCACCTTCTGCTGCTCCCGATCCCTCCGTGGCTCGGGTTTGTTGTTCGCTCGTCTGCGCTCTTCCTCTCCGCTGGGGGAGGAAGAGGAGGGGGCCAACGCAGGACGGGAGGAATCAAGAGATAGACACCCCCAAGGGCCAAACCCGGATTCTCGTTCAGTTATCACACTTTACAGCATACATGCGCTGAAATGCGTCCGATTCAGCTCAGAAGGGGACAGAAACGGCGACATTTTCACAGCATAAACTGGAACACTGAATATATTCTGTCTGAGACACATTTTTTTTGTTATTATTGTTTGTTATTAAAGAGCAAGTTACCCCCTACAAGAAACTTACTTCACTCCCTCTTCATGTTTAAAAAAGGCAGCAGAACGAGAGGGCGGAGCCGCTAACAAATACACACACACACACAGGCTCACAACGGCATTGTGACATCATAATGTACCAGTTTACATCATAGCAAACCTCTTAGCCAATAGCGGTGGCAGATTTAAATTCAAATGCAGTGCAGAGTTTTTACCTGACAACGGCGCAACACTGACAGTTTTGGGCAGAATATTTAAATTTTAACTAAGAAGCACTAAAGCGCTAAATCCTTGACTACACGTGTCTGCAGCCCAATTAGACACACATTTATATAGTTTATCAGCAAAAATAGTTGATTTGGGGGTGACTTGCTCTTTAAACATCATGCTGCGTAAAAACGTTAACAACACGAAAAAAACACAGAAACAACAACAACAATGATGATAATAATAATAAATCACATGTTGAACTAAACTCTGTAGACGACCTATAGTTCATGTTTTATTTTGTAGGAGGCTGTTGGATTTTAGGTTTTATAAAAAAATATTCAAAATAATACACAAATGTTTAATTAGGAATGTTAAAACCAGCATCTCATCAATTTTGTCTTCCAATCAAAAATAGTTTGTTATGGAAAGATTTTTAAGTGGATCATTGGTCTAACAAATGTTTTAAGAATTAATAATTACCAAAGAAGTATATCCTACATGTGTCTAAAACACCGGTTATTAAAATACTAATTTATATTTTCATTTACTTTGATAATAACTATATGAAGTTTCATACAGTTTCTTTGCTACAGTTCAGTTGCTCTGACGCCTTATTTCACACCCTGGTAACACATTTGTGTAGTTTTGATGCTGCCATCTAGTGGCTAAGCAGCTGAAGTTCACCTTTTAAACTAAAAGAAACATTTATGAATTAAATCAAGAATATTTTTACTTTTACTTTTTAAGGAGCTGTGGCTGTCCAGTTGAGAAACGCCACTATTAAATATACTTTTTTTATCATTTAAAGTGAAACAATAGATTAAATACATTAAATAGTTTAGCCTTGAATCATGTGGGCGAACGTGTGTGTAAATTAGGGGGCTATTTGGAGTTTAGGAGGCCAAATGCCTTGTTCTGATGATTGATAATAAATTAACACAGACTAAAAACACGCATTAAATTTGTTGTTCTTTAATTCTTCCTTACTCATCTTATTGTGTGGGATAAAACAACAGGAAACAAGAAATAATTGGTTTTAAAACAACCAAAAGAGCAGAACGTTTGATAAATAAGCCTCATTATGATCATCATATGACATTTTAAAAAACAAATATTTTTCTATTAATGCATAAAGGTTAGACACATTTTTCACAAACCTAAACCATAAAAATCATTTATAATACAGATAAATGTGTTGTGTCTCTATTGCTATGGAACATAGATTCTGATCTTTGAGATGTTTATGACCTAAATCTGATTTTTAATTATTTATAAGACAATTTTAAAAGATTTTCAGTGGGTGTGCATTCTTTGTGCACGTAGGTGAGGTGTTCATGTATTTTAACAGGGACATCGCTCATGTGCTCACCTGGAAATCATCACAAAGTATGTTGAAATAAAGGTTTCCTTTATTCCAAGTGAAGCAGAACGCTGCTTGAGAGGAACTGTGACTGACTCCGTGAGTTTCTTTACACAAACGCCACTTTGGGTTCTCCAGCTGGATTTGCATTGAATAAAATTTCCATATGTTTAAACCCAACAGCCAGTTTCTAAAGTCGTACCAGCCACGCGTGTAGATTAGCTCAACTAATCTGGATTAGAGTGAGAGCCTCCTGTCGTTAACCGTCGTCGTCTGTCTGTCTGGTGTGTGTGTGTGTGTGTGTGTGTGTGTGTGTGTGTGTGTGTGTTACCAGAAAGATAAGAAGCACGTTGAAAGAGAAACTCCAGCAGCCTGCAGCAAAATTTACGAGATAAACTCTCCAGAGCTGGAGGACGGAGGTAAATTTCTTGTCATCTTTATTTACTTTGTCATTTTTGACTCCTTTTAGTTCAAACTATTTAATTATCTAACATGGGTTGTTGGATCGGGTGAATTTTTAGGATCTTTAATTAAAGGATCCTAACTGAACAAAAACGAGGTCTTAAATAATGTGAAGAAATAAATCTGCTGTTATATTTTGATGTCAGAAGTTGAAACTGATGAAAATCTGTTTATTTCAGCTGTTTTTTGACCAAATGTTGCTTCCGTTAAACTAAATATGTAAATTCAGAACAAAAATGAGAGGATTTATTTTTGAACGTGAGCGGGAATCTAAACCTCCGTCGGCTCAGATCAGTGGAACGTTTGTTTCTGTGTCCGAAACCGGAGGTTTGCTTGTTTCATTTTCTCACCAGGAGGAAAAGAAACACGATTATTTGTTGGACGTTGGTTTTTATTACCTGTAAGAGTGTAGATGTGCGGAAGGGCTGAGCAGCTTCCTGTGCAGAAGGGTCCAGGTGATCCGGAGGTTTAGTTGGAACCATGAAGGGCTGCGAGGTCAACACCAGGCTGCTCTACCGGCTGACTCTGGTCTCCGGGATGCTGGAGTGTCTGCTCTTCGCTGGAGTGGTTTTTGGTTACGCCTCGCTGGTGTTTGTGCTGAAGGAAGACGGATACTTCAGCGAGATGTGTGCCCACGACCCAAACAGCAACATCTCCCTGATGGAGACAGGTGAGCTTCCTTCAGGTGGACCCTGATGCTCAGGACCACAGACTTCCACTGACCTTTGACCCACATCCTGTTCCTGTTGCTGATTCATAATTCACATCAGATCCAAGAACTTTGATGCTTTATGTCTTCGGTCTACGAAGATTGACTGATTTCTTTAAAGTGTCTTCTAAACAGTCTTTCGTCACCATCCTAACCCCCTGCTCCTCAGCAGTGGCAGGGGCTCCAACAGTCTCCAGGACACCCTGGACAGGTCTCCAGACCATCACAGGGACAGCCTAAAATTCATGCTTTTGATCCTTGGAGAAAACTCACTCATGCATGCAAACGCGCCAACTCTAGCTGCAAAGCTGCGGTCGGGATTTAAACCCACCACCTTCTTGTTATGAGGCAACAGTGCCACTGACTGCTCCACCATGCAGACCAAAGATCTGCGTGGTGGAGCAGTCAGTTTAACAGACACACGCTGGGCCCCTCAGATCAACTTGCTGTCAACACAACTCTTATAAATGATGGCCTGTACTTGATATAGCTATTAGCGGCACAGCTTGATATAGCTAGATATTCACTTCTTTATGGTCTCCCCAACAAACTCCTTCATAAACTGCAACTGGTCCAGAATTCTGCAGCCCGTATTATCACCAGAACCCCTTCCTTTCACCACATCACCCCGGTTCTCCAACAGCTTCACTGGCTCCCAGTTAAATTTAGGTCCATCTTCAAAATTCTCCTCCAAACCTTCAAAGCAATCCACAACCTCTCTCCTCCATATATCTCAGACCTTCACACCCCATCCCGTTCACTCAGATCTTCTTCTTCCATCCATCTTGCGGTTCCTTCTGCCCGTCTCGCTACCATGGGGAGCAGAGCTTTCAGCCGCTCTGCTCCCCGTCTCTGGAACTCACTTCCCCCAGACATCAGGAACATTGACAGTTTCACCCATTTCAAAACAAAACTCAAAACACACATGTTTAAATCTGCCTATGACCTCTGATTTTATTGAGCTGTTTCTCTCTTTGTTTTTGTTTTTCTTGTTTGGGTTTTATTATTGTTTTATTGTATTTTATTAAGTGTTTTGTGTCAAGTGACCTTGGGTGTCCTGAAAGGCGCTTTTAAATAAAATGTATTATTATTATTATTATTATATACACTCACCTAAAGGATTATCAGGAGCACCAAACTAATACGGTGATTGACCCCCTTTCACCTTCAGAACTGCCTTAATTCTACGCGGCGTTGATTCAACAAGGTGCTGAAAGCATCCTTTAGAAATTCCATCTTTCAGTTCTTTTTAAAACACAGAAAAGGTTTTATTTACCTGCAACGTTTCGTTTGCGGCTGCAAACATCATCAGGTTTATCCGCGGGCAGCAGAGGACGTTGTTGCCCTCTGCTGCCCGCTCTCCCCTCTCTGACGATGCAGTCCCATGCGCAGTCCAACGAGTAAACTCCATCGTCTCTGTTCATGGTCCCACATCCACGTCTCCTTATCTCGATTGCTTCTTTTATCCATCTTTTGTATTTCTGTTGTTCGGTGTTTACGATCCTTGTGTTGTCCCAGTCCATTACATGGTTTTCTCTTGTGCAGTGATCTGTTACGGCTGACTTCTTTATTGTGCTTTCTGCTTCTTCTTTTGCTGCTCTTGTGTGTTTTCGATTCGCCTCTTTCTCACACTCCTTTCTATGTTCTATTTTTCGTGTGTTGAGTTGGCGTCCGGTTTCTCCTATGTATGTTTTATTGCAGAGTTTGCATGGGATTTCGTAAACGACTCCACATTTACGTCCAGCTGGTATCTTGTCTTTTGGGTGCACTAGTCTGTTTCTAACTGTTGTGTATGGTTTTGTTGGTGTGTTTATGTTGTGTTTTCTCATTGTTGCTCTTGTTTTTTCTGTTATGCCTTTGATGTATGGTAGGGTGTTACCATACACAAAATGTCAGTAATCAGAACATTATATCACCGAGCAAACACGATAACAGAAGAAAGAGACCGTAAACAAGAGGACAAACACATACAGCATGCTTTAAAGACCTGCGGATACCCGACATGGGCGATAAACAAAGGAAAACAACAAACAACAGAAAGAAAAAACAACCAAAGCAAAGAACCAGAAACCCAGAAAGACAAGAACCAAAACCAGTGATAACCCTACCATACATCAAAGGCATAACAGAAAAAATAAGAACAACAATGAAAAAACACAACATAAACACACCAACAAAACCATACACAACAGTTAGAAACAGACTAGTACACCCAAAAGACAAGATACCAGCTGGACGTAAATGTGGAGTCATTTACGAAGTCCCATGCAAACTCTGCAATAAAACATACATAGGAGCAACCGGACGCCAACTCAACACACGAACAACAGAACATAGAAAGGAGTGTGAGAAAGAAACAAGTTGAAAACACACAAGAGCAGCAAAAGAAGAAGCAGAAAGCACAATAAAGAAGTCAGCCGTAACAGATCACTGCACAAGAGAAAACCGTGTAATGGACTGGGACAACACACGGATCATAAGCACTGAACAACAATAATACAAAAGATAGATAAAGGAAGCTGTCGTGATAAGGAGACGTGGATCTGGGACCATGAACAGAGACCATGGAGTTTACTCGTTGGATCGTGTATGGGACTGCATCGTCGGAGAGGGGAGAACGGGCAGCAGAGGGGAGACAACGTCCTCTGCTGCCCGCGGATAAACGGAGAAGGAAGTGATGCCACCATCGGCGTCAGCCTGAGGAAGTTTGCAGCCGCAAACGAAACGTTGCAGGTAATTAAACCTTTTCTGTGTTTTAAAAAGAACTGCGCTGCTTCTATCGTGGCTGCAGGAACTGAAGTAGGGATAGTCCCAACCCACCACCCCACCTAGTGGACACTTATGTTGTGTTGCCTGAAGTCTGTTGCATTTCTGTCTGAGGTGTTTTTTTGCAGAGCAAAGCTGCCCTCCTGGTGGAGGGTAACTCTGAAGTGCCTTTTTTCCCCTCCACCTGAACCAATCCTCATGTAACCCTGTTATCTCTATCAAGGTAGCGCAACTCTGGGGTTGCGAATGACCACAGTCACCAGTTCATGTCATGTGTCTTGCCCATGTATATATGATCTCTGAATTGTGTGTACTGAAACTCTAATTTCCCTCTGGGATTAATAAAGTATCTTTGATTTGATTTGATTTGAAAGATGGAATTTGAAGCTAAACACAGCAAGAACACACCAAAGATTCTTTAGAAATGTTGGCCCATACTGACAGGACAGGATCTTGCAGTTTATGGAGATGTGTGGGATGCACATCCAGGGCACGAAGCTCCCGTTCCACCACATCCCAAAGATGCTCTATCGGGTTGAGATCTGGTGACTGTGGGGGCCGTTGTAGTACGGTGAACTCATCGTCATGTTCAAGAAACCAGTTTGAAATGATTGGAGCTTTATGGCAAGGTGCATTATCCTGCTGGAAGTAGCCATCAGAGGATGGGTACATGGTGGTCATGAAGGGATGGACATGGTCAGAAACGATGCTCAGGTAGCCCGTGGCATTTAAACCATGCCCAGTTGGCACTAAGGGGCCTAAAGTGTGCAAAGAAAATATCCTCCACACCATGACACCACCACCACCAGCCTGCACAGTGGTAACAAGGCATGATGGATCCATGTTCTCATTCTGTTTACGCCAAATTCCGACTCTACCATCTGAATGTCTCAACAGAAATGGAGACTCATTTTTAGTCTTCAACTGTCCAGTTTTGGTGAGCTCGTGCAAACTGTAGCCTCTTTTTCCTATTTGTAGTGGAGATGAGTGGTACCCGGTGGGCTCTTCTGCTGCTGTAGCCCATCCGCCTCAAGGTTGTGCGTGTTGTGGCTCCACAAATGCTTTGCTGCGTTCCTCGATTGTAACGCGGGTTAGGGTTAGGCTCTTCTATCAGCTTGAATCAGTCGGCCCATTCTCCTCTGACCTCTAGCATCAACAAGGCATTTTCACCCACAGGACTGCCGCATACTCGATGCTTTTCCCTTTTCACACCATTCTTTGTAAACCCTAGAAATGGTTGTGGGTGAAAATCCCAGTAACTGAGCAGGTTGTGAAATACTCAGACCGGCCCGTCTTGCACCAACAACCATGCCACGCTCAAAACTGCTTAAATCACCTTTCTTTCCCATTCTGACCTTCAGTGTGGAGTTCAGGAGATGGTGTTGACCAGGACCACACCCCTAGATGCACTGAAGCAACTGCCATGTGATTGGTTGATTAGATAATTGCATTAGGGAGAAGTTGAACAGGTGTTCCTAATAATCCTTTAGGCGAGTGTAGTGCCTTGTAGAGTCCACGAACCCCCCAAGGCACTTTACGACACAATCAGTCATTCACCCATTCACACCATGGTGTTGATGAGCCATATTAGTAGAATAATGAGAAAATATACGATAAAATCTGGAATCTCAGATGCATACACACAGAAAAAAGGAGATTCAACAGAAAAACTTTGATAAAACTTTGACTAAATGAACATTTGCTGCAAAACTGGAAAAATGATCCAATAAAAAAAATAAAACATTTTGTTGTCTGTTTGTTTTTGCCGATCCATGCTCATCCATGATTTTGTTTTTATTTAACTCAGACTGTCCAAGTCAGGATGAGCAGTTCTCTCTGGTCTTTACGATCGCCTCGTTCCTCAACAACTTCCTGAATCTCGTCAACGGCTTCCTGTTTGATCGGTTCGGCACCATGGCGACCAGGATGCTGGGAATGTGAGTTGATGTCAGTTTTTTCTTCCCGCCTTTGAGCGTTTGGGCGACACCCACCTAAAAAAAACACTCCAAACTTTTGGCCTGTCAAAAAAAATCTTGGTTTTAAACTGAAATATAAAACGGTGTAATATGTAAATAAGGTGAGTTCAGCTGTTCTGATCAAAGGAGGAGTCGATGATTATTAGAGTGATGAAAACAGGGCGGGTCTACGAGAGGCTTGCACAAACAGACGACGCCTCGTTTTCACAACAAAATCTGTTTCATGTTTTCATTTTTGTTCAATTTTACAGCAAAATGTCCTCCCAGGACCCTGAAAGAGGACAAAGGGCTGACTGGTGATGATGTTTTTGCCTCTGTTAGCAAAATAACAGAAACAATCAATTATTTTGAATGAAATTCTCAGACATTCTTATTTTATCTGCATTGACTTTTGGAGTCTAGCCAGTTCAGGGCAGCTTCTGTAGATTTTTACCATTAAAACAAATAAACATTGTAGCTTATTAACATTAGCAAATAAAAACACTTTTCATTGGTGAGGGACTTTGGCAGTTCTTCAGTTCAATGAGACAAATCTAATTTGCCAGATTTTAAAAGATCAAACATCCCTTTAAAACCTAAAATACTGAAACATCTTCTTTTAAAACATGATTATTTATTGTTTTGTTTTAATAAAACATCTAAAATCTGTTATTTTAATGAAATTATAATATAATAGCAACAAACTGACCTTCTGACACACGCAGAGCTCCACCAGGGGGCAGTAGACCTGCATTTAGGACAGGTACTGCTCCATCTGAAAGCTCTGAAGTGGTTTGAAGTTGTTTTGTGATGGTTCTGATGAGTTAGTCATCTCAACCAGGAACAAACCTGTGTGATCATGAAATACAAGAACCTTAAAAAAATACATTTTTTAAATCCCTACTTGGATCAAATGTTTAAAAATCTCTGAGGGTGTTTATTTATGGTACACAACGAAAAGAAGATCCCTCTGAAATGTGCTTTTTCTCTTTCTCCAGATGTTTATACACAACTGGAACTCTTCTTGTGGCCTTCTCTGATGCAGGTCTGTCTGGTCCATTTAGAAATGAACATTTAACACATTAAACTCAGAAGGTTTGATCTTTATGAATTGACTTTGGACCTGATTTAGAAGTTTGTTTTAAGTTTTTTAAACTTCCCTGCAGCGTTTGCTCTGATGCTTTTTCCGGCTCTTTCCTGCATCGCTGTGGGAGGAATTCTGCTCCTACTTACCAACATGCAGGTGAATAATACATCATGGTTGCGTTAGTTTCTTAAAATAACTCAAACACTGAAATATTTTATGATGTTTTTGTTTATTGGAAGGTGGGAAACCTGTTTTCTGCTCACCGCTCCACCATCATCACTCTCTACAACGGAGCATTTGATTCATCATCTGCTGTTTTTCTCATCATTAAGGTCAAATGCCATAAAAAATCCTAGTAAAACACAAACAATGTGTTTTCACAAAGTAATAATATCGATTGTTAAATTAATAATCAGGCTTTAATGAGAAATTTTATTTACTGGATGTTTGATTTTTTCTTTTAGCTGCTTTCATTGTTGTAAACAATTATTGCGGTGTCAAATAAAAAAATCTTTTAATGTAAAGTCAAGTTCACGCAGATAGATCCTTTAACAAAACACTATTCTACTAAGGATTTAATCTTATTTTAAAGGTGCAATATGTAAGAATTCTACTGTGAAATAATCAAAAAACAGTCTAATCTCTAAATCATGCTACATTCATAAACAGATTTCATTCTTCGCGAGCTGGGGGTTGTCAGTTTTTCTCCTTTTGAACTAAATGAAAGCGGGACGTAGTTATTGTTTACATGCTGAGTTTTTGAAGTTGCCGAATCTGCAACACAGCAGTGCCGACATTTGTGATTCAACACAGACTGGCATAAAAGCTCCAGAGTTGTTTAAAGAACCAAGCAGGAGCGACCCAGAAGTAATTTCCTGCACCCCTAAAAAGCTGCTGCGCTTTTTTGTTTTACTCTAACATCAGGTGAAGCAGGCTTAAGGTTGGTTTATGCTTGACGCGTCCGCGAGGTCCACACGGCTCCACGCGGAAAAGTTGCATCATTTTGCGTCATTTTAACAACCACGCCCCTCCACCGCGCCTCCGCACGGCCCAGAATTTCCGCAACGCGCACCTCGGAAAATTTCTAACAACGCGGACGGACGCGGAAAAACATGGCGGACTGGCAAGAACTAGTACGGCAGAGGTTCGTAAATACAGACATTTGTATGATTCTGCTCTCAAAGATCACCGTGATCAACATGTTGTTAATAATTCTTGGAGAGAAATAACTCGCACTGTCGGAAAAGACGAGAACGCTGTTAAAAATGCTGAAATGCCATGTTGTAAACAGTAATTTCTACTTCTACTATGGTGTAGTGTTGGATGCTTGCCGTAGAGCTCCATGCTGCCCCCTACAGTCTGGGAGAATATTGTCTCACCGCAGAGACGAGCCGCACGAACCATAAACACTGCGAGTTGTGAAGCGCGTTCCATCCGCGAGCCGCATCACCGCGCGGAAAGTGAATGCGTCAAGCATAAACCAAGCTTCAGAGGCTAACGCTGAGCTAACAATGCTAATGGTGAAATTTATGTGTGAAGTGAATCATGTCACACATGCCTTTTTACTTCCTTTATTGTGTCGTTAGGAATTATAACAGCAAGCTATCAGCAAGTGAGCTAACATCACTTCCTGAAATGCCAGACACGCTACCATAATAAGTGTAGCAAAGGCTCCCTACCGTAAAACAATCAAGACTGCTAACACAAGATATGACAGTGTATTTATCTACTTATCAACTTACTGTGTGTGACTTGTCTTTGCTTGTTAACTAGAATCCTCTGATGCTGATCTGAAACTGGCAACAACCACAAAACTCATGGAACAGGAGAGAGAAAGTTATGTTTTTTGCTTAAAAATGAACTGCAGTACCTACCTTTGACCACAGGATGTCCATCCTGTCTGAACCCGCTTTGGGGGGCTGGTGCCTATCTCCAGCAGTCAACGGGCAATCAGGCGGGGTACACCCTGGACAGAGAGCCAGTTCATAGCAGGGCAACACAGAGACACTCAGAACAAACAATCACACACACACACACACACACACACACACACACAATTTAGACAGACCAATTAACCTAACAGTCATGTCTTTACTCAAGTGTGGGAGGAAGCCGGAGTACCCACGCATGCACTGGGAGAACATTCAAACTCCATGCAGAAAGATCCCAGGCTGGGAAGCGAACCCAGGACCTTCTTGCTGCAAGGCAACAGCTCTAACCACTGCGCCACTGCACAGCTCTGACTTCAGGACGTCAGTCTTACAAATTGCACCTTTAACCTGGAAAATTCCATTTATTCAAGGGAACACCAGCATCTAGTGTTTCTGATGTGCAGGAATGAAAACTTATTGGAAATATTTAGCTGTAGTTACTTATGTAAGTTTTATACTTTTGTGTTTATTTTTATCATTTGCAGGTTTTGCATGAACAGGGGGTCCCTCTTCGCCCAACCTTCCTGGCCATGTCCCTGTGCAGTATCTTCCATGTGGCGAGGACATTTCTGCTCATGCCCAGAACCCACATCCCCTACCCTCTGCCTCAGAGCTACACATACGGGTGAGAGCCTTCATATCCAGCCTTTAAGTCTGTCTTTAATAATGAAACATTGATTTTCTGGTGTTCAGGGTGAATTGTGGAAAGGCCAACACCTATAATGTGGAGCAGATTGAGAGGATGAGGGAGACCACGGTGACACTTTCACAGGATTCCAGAGGGAAAGACGACTCCACACGAGTGGATGAGGCAAAGCTTCAGAAAACACAAGAAGGTATTTTAAGAGAAACTGATAAAATATTACACAATCACTCACTCACTCAATCAATCAATCAATCAATCAATCAATCAATCAATCCTTTATTAATCCCAGAGGGAAATTAGAGTTTCAGTACACATAATTCTGAGATCAGACATACATGGGCAAGACACATGACAAGAATTGGTGACTGTGGTCATTCGCAACCCTGAGTCGCGCTACCTTAATAGAGATCAGAGGGTTACATGAGGATTGGTTCAGGTGGAGGAAAAAGGGCACTTCAGAGTTACCCTCCAGCAGGAGGGCAGCTTTGCTCTGCAAAAAAAAAAAAAAAACACCTCAACAGATATGCAACAGACTTCAGACAACACAACATAACACGAGACTCCAATAGGAGGGTGGGGGGGTGGGGGGCTGGGATCCTGTTTCCCCCAGCGAGAGCTGCCATCTACGGCGCTCATCTACTGAATAGTCACAGGTGGGAGGGAGATCTTGGGAGAAGCAAAGAGCACATTGACTCCACCAATTGATGGCCTCGCCAGGCTGAAGTCCACCAATCCGAAGGCCCGGGGGGTGGGGGGGTGGGGGTGTAGGTCGAGCTAACACAAGAATCATCTTTACAATTTAGCCTCCTCGGGCCTTCCTTCTTGTAACATTTTCACACCTGCTGTTCTTTAAGGAGACTAGCATTTACCTAACTTGACTGATATTTATTACTTTTATTTCATTGTCTAATTGTTAAAAATAACTTTATTTTGATGTCTAGGAGACCCTACTCCTAACTGTGTGTGTTGTTCAGAATCTCTAGGCTGAGTAGCGAATCTGGTTGTTATGACTAGGCTACCACGAGGCTTCAGAAGCTGATGACATGAGCCGCCATTTTGTGCCGTGACCACGTACCGTATATGGAGTCTCCCGTGTAGATCAGGAAATGCCAGGTCCTAAGACCTCGGTTGTACTGGAGCTGGTGAAACAGCGGTCGCAGCACTACAAAGCCCGTCTGAGGATAGCTCCGGTAGTAGTCGGCAGGCGTCAGCAAGTTCACTCTTATTTTGAAGGAACGTCGTCTCGTTGATTCAAACGACGGAAATCTCCAGCTTGACAGTTCTCAGTTTAAAACAGGAAGTACAGCTGGCCAGCCTGTACTTCTCTTTTGGCGGTGATGGATTGAGAGCTGGTTGTTGAGAGTATGATGTAACTCCTTTGGAGCTCGGATCGAACAGAGCTGATGTTAACGTGGAACTGAATATAAAATGGCGTTGCCTTCTTTTATATCTCCCAGTTGTTTATAAATCTTAGTAAACCGGATTGGACGACTTTCATTAAACAACCCAGATTCTGCCCTACCAAAGACGAAAGTTCTGATTGGTTGAGAATAATGTGTCATGCGTTTCCATGGGAATGTAGATCAGTCTGTCTGGTGCAGTCCTGTTTATTCATTTAAACACATAACTCATGACATCTTTATTTCAAAGATCATTCACCTGATTATTAATGATCAACATATGCTTTGATTAGCTTATCACAAATAAAGTACTTTGATTAATCAATGAAAAGCGCTCTTCTTCTCTTCTTCTGTCTCTTCTCCTGGAATGTAAACATACTGAACCAAGCGTCCGACCTTGGTGATGTTACTGTGTGAAGGGGCAGCTGTTAAGGGCAGACCATTATAAGATTCATAACGCTACACATGTGATATAACAAAAATCCCCACCAAACCAAGGTTTAATTTTCCTGTTTTGCATCATTCAAAATATTCCCACAAAAAAAAAACAGTTTTCCTAAATATTTTCTCATATTTAATCTTCTATACCATCTAATAAAAACATAACATAACGGATGTTCCTTTATCTGAAGGGAGTTCAGAAGAAAACGACTTTAGTCCTCTCTGTTGATCCGTTTCTGTGTGCAGAGAGGAGTTTCCGGAGCTGTGTCCGGTCCTGGTTCTTCTTGTGGCATCTCCTGTGGTTGTCCATAATGCAGCTGAGACACTACCTCTTCATCGGAACACTCAACTCTACGCTCAGTCGACTGGCCCGGAACGACCCCAGCTTAGGTAACATGTTCTGGTGTTCTCCTCTTCCTTCTCTTTCCTATCAAAGGTACGGCGATCGATAAGCCATTCAAACGAGCTACGCTTAGAAAAATCAATAGCTCAATCACAGAATCTGATGGTCATAACTGATTCTGACAATCACAAAAACATAAGGCTACCTTACCTTTTATGCCTTAACTCCTAACGTAACGCATCAATGTAACCACATATGCTAGCTGATAGAGTGTGGCCTTTTCACGGTGAAAAACAAGCCAGTTTTTTTTTTTATTTCTTGGTTTGTTTTTAACTTCAAAGTCTCAGCATCTCAGCACCACTGACAATCTGGGAAAACTCCACGAACAACAGGTCAAAACGCTGTCATGACAGCTTCTGAATAAACCACACACGCACATTGCTCTACCAGCTGACAGACAACAGGCTGCGGTCACAGACAACAGGTCCGTCACCTAAAAGTTTCCCAACGTGAAACAACTCCTTCAGTTAAATTTGCAAACAAGCAGAATGGAATAATTTGTTTGTGGCACGAGGTAGGGGTGTGCGGTATAAACGGTATACGGTAGAAATTATATTAATTTGGCCAACGGTAGAGATTTTGACTACATCGGCCTATCGCAGTAGTGCATGTTGATGATGTCATCAAGCTGCGTCTGTTGAGGCTGAAAGCATGAAGCCTGTGGTGGAGGAGGAGGAGGTTCTCGTAAAGAAGACCAGTGCAACATTGGTCATTTGGACTTGGTTTGGCTTTAAGGAGTCGAACAATATAATCTGCAAAGTATGCCGGAAGAAAGTATTAGTGAATAGAGGGAATACATCTAATTTGTTTTACCACCTCAAAACAAAGCACGTTGTGGAATACGAAGAAAGCCAAAAACTACATCCTCAACAAACGCCCAGTCAGTCGAGCGGTAAGAAAAAAGGTGGTCTTACACACCAGCAGACGGATATTTTACAAGCATTTGCTAAAGGCACACAGTATGAGAGAAATAATCAACGGTGGATTGATATTACAAATGCCATTACCACGTACCTGTGTAAGGGCATGGTGCCGTTTCTTACGTGGAGAAAAGCGGCTTTCGGGACACGATTAAGACACTCGATCCACGTTACGAGGTACTGAGCTGCAAACACTTCAGCCAAACAGACATATATACAAAAGAAAGTCATATTTCGCAATGTATACCGTTACCGCACATTTTTCAAATTATATCGCAATATAGATTTTAGGCTATATCACCCACCCCAGCATGAGGTTTCTGTTCCAGTTTAACCGCTTTGAGCTGAGAGTGCACAATTCATACACACAGAGGGGTATTTGCACTGGGTGTGTGTGGGTTAGGGTTAGGTAGTGAATCATGATCCACTCATTTAGAACAGGACATTCACAATGGTCAGATGAGGTTTTTCCAGGATTGCACGTTTCAGAGGTGATTACAATTAGTTCTTTTGAGACGAAACCTTTCATGTATTGGTTGCCATCAGTGTGTAAAGAGAGTTTCAAGAAAAATGGCAAAAATGCTCCAGAAAAACATCTCCTACTTTTAATAACTGTTTGTTCCTCTCGTCAGTGAGTCGGTACACCAATGCTTTTGCAATGACCCAGCTGTGTGGAGTCCTCTGTGCCCCCTGGAATGGGCTCATATTGGACCGACACAAAGGAAAACCTCGAAGCCTCGGTAAAAATAGACGTTAGAGTTGTTTAGTGAAACTACTTCAGTTTTCCTGACTCCTTGATTCCTCCCACTGTAGGAGAAACTGAACAGGATGCAGACCTGCGCTCGTCCTGTCTGTCTCTGTTCCTGACGTCGTTTCAGTGCCTCCTCTTCTCTGTGTGTGCCTCCATTCCTATCCTCCCTCTGCAGTACCTCACCTTCATCCTACAAGTTCTCAATCGCTCCTTCCTCTATGGAGGAAACGCAGCTTTCATAAGCATCACGTAAGTGGATTCTAAATAAATAATAACTGGTTTTGGAAGTGATTTATTGGTTTGGTCTAAGTCTAGTTTGTTCCTGAGGGTTGGACTCCTCCAGGGCCGCCTGTTGATCCTGTTTGAGGTGTTCAAGGAAAGATCTCAAGGTGTAGTAATGGAAAAGATGGTGTCTGGTTGAAAAAGCCCAGGAACTCATGATGTGGTTCTGTTGGTGCCTCCATTGACTCCCATTTTGATCAAGGTTCATTACAAATTTCCGGTGGCATTCCCATTAGACCATTGAGGTCAAGTGACCAAGGATTGTTGGTGTTTACCAGAACAACGATGAAAACCAGAGGCCGACAAGCCTCTTTGGAGCACCCTTCCCTCTTCCCTGAAGTTGGCTGACTCCGTTGAGTTTTTCAAAACAACTAATTTTGTATTATCAATAATGGTTTTTATTTCCTTGTCTGTTTTTATTGTGATGTATTTTTACTACGTCCCAATCCTCACCTATGGTCATGAGCTTTGGGTAATGACCGAAAGAACAAGATCGCGGATACAAGCGGCCGAAATGAGTTTCCTCCGTAGGGTGGCCGGGCTCAGCCTTAGAGATAGGGTGAGGAGCTCGGACATTCGGGAGGGACTCGGAGTAGAACCGCTGCTCCTCCGGATCGAAAGGAGTCAGTTGAGGTGGTTTGGGCTTCTGGTCAGGATGCCTCCCTGGGGAGGTGTTTCGGGCATGTCCTGCCAGCAGGGGCCCCCCGGGTCGACCCAGGACACGTTGGAGAGGTTACATCTCCAATCTGGTCCGGGAACGCCTTGGGGTCCTGCCGGAGGAGCTGGTGGAGGTGGCCGGGGAGAGGACGGTCTAGAGCTCCCTAGTTGGGATGCTGCCCCCGCAACCCGGACACGGATAAGCGGAGGAAGATGATGACAATGTCTTTTTACAGCACCTTGTAGACAGACCCGTGTCTAGAAAGTTGCTATATAAATAAAGCTTTACTTACTTACTTGGTGATTCGTAGCAAAGGCCTAAGACGCCTTTGGAAAAAGGAGGAATCCTCTACTCAGATCTATGGTCCCAAGATTTAAATCACAACATAAAAATGAAACCATGGATCCAAATCGCTGATGTCAGCTTCCTCCATAGTGGCCGTAGAGCTCCGCCTCATCGAAGGGAGTCCGTTAAAATGATTCAGGCAACTGATTAGGTTTCCCACGTTGGAGATTTTCCAGGTATTGGGTATTGGGCAGACCCAGGAATCTCTGGCCTGGCAATGCCTTTGTCAGCAGTGGAAAACAAAATGGATAGTTCCATTTTATAATTAGAGAAAATAAGCGCATTGCTTCCCTAACAACGTTTTCCTGAAGAAAAAAATGTTTATTCATGTTGTGGTCCAGTGGAGCTTGAAAAATACCCATCACTATCTTTTTTTTCATCTTGCAGTTTTCCAAGCTCCCACTTTGGGAAGCTGTATGGCCTGGTGATGTCACTGTCTGCTATCCTTTCCCTCCTTCAGTATCCGCTATTCGCCCTCATCAAAGGACCTCTGCATGGAGATCCGTTTCATGTAAGAAGCTCCATCTTTGTTACCAAAAGGCTGTATGTTATAACTGAAGCAAACCTAAAGGATCCTGTTGAGACTGCGTAACATCACGAGAACTGTCTTCCGCTCCAGGTGGACATCGCTCTCACCCTCCTCACTCTTGTGGTGTTTATCCATCCTCTTCACATCTTCATCCACAGCAGGAGACGAGCACAAAGCAGGAAGAATAAAGCTGACGACTCAGACTCCAGCGAAGCTGAAGCCAAACTGTAGAGGAAGAATCTCCAGGATGTAGATATTTTTGGTACAATTTTGTTCCTGCACAAAGGAAATGGAAATAATTTGTCTATTTTGATAAGAGAATTGGTGTCTTTTCTAATGATTTTAATGTCTAAATAAAGAAGAATGCATTTTTTTAACGTTTTAATAATTAAAGACAAAGACTGGGGCAGCAGTAGCTTAACAGGTTGAGCGGGTTGTCCAGTAATGGGAAGGTTGCAGGTTCGATTCCGGCTCCGGACAGAGAATTCTGCTGTTGTGTCCTTGGGCAAGACACTTAACCCACCTTGCCTGCTGGTGGTGGTCGGAGACCGGTGGCGCCAGTGCTCGGCAGCCTCGCCTCTGTCGGTGCGCCCCAGGGCAGCTGTGGCTACATCGTAGCTCATCACCACCAGTGTGTGAATGTGTGTGTGAATGAATGAATGATACACTGAAGTGTAAAGCGCTTTGAGTCCTTACTCTGAGAGGTGCTATACAAGTGCGGGTCATTTATCATTATCACAGGGTATCTGCAGGTTTATGGGAGCCGAATTTAAGACTTTTTAAGACCTTTTTTAAGGCCACTTTGACCAAATTTAAGCTGTTTAAAATTAAATTTAAGCTATAATTTCCAGCTATTGCCTGGAACCGGTGCTAACCACGTCGCGAACGTGGGATTAACCATCCAGTTACCATTAAACTTGCACTTCCCCATGGCGCAAGCTGCCGCTAGCTTAACCAGCTAATGTGCTCATATAAAAATAGCCCCCTTTCACAGCCAACTGAATGTGTACGGTTCCGCTTACGCCAACATCGTACACAAAAAAAAAAAAAAAAGCTGAACACTAACTAGAAATTCACGAAATTTTTATAGAAATGAAAGAATCTTGTTTATTGGGTCTTTGGTCATTTAAGACCTTTGGAAACTGTCTTTAAGGATTATTTGTCATTTTTAAGGATTTTTAAGGCCTTAAATTTGGAAAAGCAAATTTAAGACTTTTTAAGGATCCGCAGATACCCTGTATAAAGATTTTTCTGAATAGTTATCTAAAGGATGACCCAAGTTAATTCTGGTGTCAGAAGCACCACAATTATCACCAAATATAAACATTCATCACCCTGAAAATTCAATTTACACGTCTTTACAGTTTATTCACTAGACTCAACCCCTCTGATTTCAGCACTAATATTAATATTTTCATTTCATTTTAATAAATGCCTTAAGCTCCACCCACTTATCCAAATATGGTCACTTCCAGCTCCAAGATTGTGCCGGGATTTTGTTCAAACCCTTTTCCACCTTACCTCACTTAGGTGTTTAGATATGCATAGAGCAGTGCATTATGGGTAGACCAAACCCATGTGGTTCGTTCGGCTGAGTCTTCAACATTCTCTAAACAAATATATTACTGTTTTGTAATCTGAGAGTAGGCCTCTGACCTCAGGGTGAACTTGCTGGGATGTCAACCATTGGGAAGACTAGAAGCTGCCTTAAATATGTTCAACTTGTGAAAAAGTATTCTTATTGTAAATTGGACCTAAAATATGTATTAAAAACTGACCTTCACATTAAAAGATGCACCAGACCTCCCATAAGAATACGGGGCATCTGCAGGTTGAAGGGAGCCAAATTTAAGACTTTTTAAGACCTTTTTTTAAGGCTACTTTGACCAAATTTAAGCTTTGTTAAAATTAAATTTAAGCTATAATTTCCAGCTATTGCCTGGAACCGGCGCTAACCACGTCGCGAACGTGGGATTAACCATCCAGTTACCATTAAACTTGCACTTCCCCATGGCGCAAGCTCCCACTAGCTTAACCAGCTAATGTGCTCATCTAAAAATAGCCCCCTTTCACAACCAACTGAATGTGTACGGTTCCGCTTACGCCAACATCGTACACAAAAAATGCTGAACACTAACTAGAAATTCACAAAATTTTTATAGAAATAAAAGAATCCTGTTTATATTGGGTCTTTGGTCATTTAAGACCTTTGGAAACTGTATTCAAGGATTATTTGTCATTTTTAAGGATTTTTAAGGCCTTAAATTTGGAAAAGCAAATTTAAGACTTTTTAAGAACCCTGGAATAAAAAAAAAATCAAGAGCTTAAACAGTTTTTAATTATTTTTTTTTAAAAAGGTGGAACAAGTTGTAACCCTCCCACTGTCTTCATGTCTTTACGGGTGACCCTGTGAGGAAAGTTGACCATTGAGCAGGCTTGATGGTTTATCCCTTGAGGTCCACGTGGCAGCAGTGAGGTGGTGCTCACTCCTGCCACGTGGACCCAAGGGATAAACCATCAAGCCTGCTCAATGGTCAACTTTCCTCACGGGTCACACCCATTAGGACAGTGGGAGGGTTAAAGACAAAAAACAAGATGTTTTGCTACGATTATAAAAACGTTGAAGGAATGTACGTTCAGGAACGGACAACACACACGGTGGACTGCAGCACAGACTCCTCTAGCACAGCTGGTATAAAACAGGGCCGCCTCGTTACAACTCGGCTCCAGATGACTAAATGACTGTCGACTCTTTAAAATCAAGTTTAGAACAACTGATACAGAATATCTGTAGAAGGGTTAAATTCATCATTCAACACAAACCTACAACAGACGCACGGTAGACCGCCGTACCATGAGTCTTCAGGTGTTTTTAAACTAATAAAAATATATTGTTTGACTAATGAAATAAGGTAAGGCACTGGGAACTACAAAGGAAAATTAAATGTGAATAATTAGTGAAGAAAAGCAACGAGGAACATTTCCTTCAGTTTAAGGAAAACTGAAACTACTTTGTGGGTTGGGGTTACACATTAATCCTTAAACCGGATTAAACGTAGATTTCAGTCAGAACCAGAACAAATGACATTAGAGCGGAGTTTATAACCCAGGCAGGCAGATCTCTGAAATGTGAGCGGGTCTTCTGATCATGGTGCACTCCGACTCCTACTGGTGAAACTTGTTCAATCGTGATTTGAAGATTTGGGTTGGAATCTTTTAACCTGCTGCATCTGTCATCACTCCTGCGGGCTTGCCGGCACGCTCTCGTTCGTAAAAAATCCATTGTGGTGCAGGAACAGCATCGTGTCCAAACTTTCGGGTGGAATGTTTGACCTTTTCCTGTTTGTGGTTCCTGGTCCCTCCTGAATAAAGTCCTGGGCGGCGTTCCCCGCTACAGCTGGAGCAGCCAGGTAGGCCTGCGCCACTGAGGCTAGCAGTGGAAACTGAACGGCTTTGGTCTTCCACCACTGCAGGGGCTCCACGCCGAGTGAAGCCCCTTTGTCAGCTCTGAAGACAGACATCTCCATGTCGACGGACTCCTCCACAGAGCTCTGTCTGGTCCTCTTGGGTGCCGAGCAGAACAGGTCTCCCAGCAGGAACTCCATCCCGGAGAGATCTGCCTGAGGATCTGAATCCACATAGTCGCAATCATCCACCTCGCCGGGGTCGCTGAACTCATCCTCAACTCCAAGGTCTCTGAAGTTGATGGGAGGACATTGTTTCAGGCGTTTGCTCCTTCGGATATCACCCTCCGACTCTGGCGACAGAGGGGAGGAGCTTCTCTTGATCTGAAGAGACGTAGATGGATTAACTTTCCCGTTTTCCTTCGCAATCTTCACAGCCTCCTGCTTCAGCCAGTTGAAAGTGGAAATCTGCTCCTAAAATATGAGAAAAAAAAGATTTCAGCTGCCAGATTAGACCGCTGCCGCAGACCTTTTAGTCGGGCGACTCACCTTGTCCTCCATGAAGCCCAGCCCGTGAAACTGTGGGTCGAGGGAACACGCCACGCACAGAACCCTGTTCACTGCAGGGTTGTCATAGCAACTCAACAACTCACGCCTCATCATCCTCTTCACCTCCTTCAAGATGGACGAAGAGTCGCTTGGCCGAGGAACGAGGTGGCGAGACAGCAGGCCGGTGAGGATGGGTTTGACCAGGGACAGACGCGGGAAGGCCTCCTTGGCCAGAGTCCGGCAGGCCACATCCAGAGGTCTGAGGACCAAACATAGGTCCTCCACCACCTTCCATTCAGAGCGCAGTAAGGGGAGGCTTGATGATGTGTTGGAGGTGGAGTTGGGGTGGTAGCTACCAGATGCTTCAGAAGCTTCCTCCTCTTTCTTCAACGTCTCTTCGTTCATCTCTCTGATGATGTCACAGATCAGGCTTTTATGTTTGATGATGGAGCTCAGTAACGGGTACAGGCCGTTCCAGGACGGGGGGCTGTGAGCCCATGACTTAATGCTTGCCTGTTCTTGTTTGGCCAGAGTCTGCAGCAGCTTCTGAGCGTGGTGCAGGCACGAGCCCTTCTGCTCAGCTGGTGGCAGGAACAGAGAGGAGAAGACACTCTGGAACTGGCTGAGAGTTTTGGAAATGACCGGGTGCAACATCACCTCCTCAACGCAGCCCTGCACAGCGCTAAAGAAGCACGGGACCGATGGAAGACCTTCACTAAAATGTTCTGAGACCTGCGGTTCCTCGGGGGATGCAGAGTCGTCCCTCTCTAAAAATGTTGTGGAGTTCGGGTGGGGGAGGCTTCCTGTAGCCTCCGCACCCTTCTCACTCTTTATTGGTTTTAACTTCGCCGTGTATTTGCCCTCCACTCCCAAAAGGACCAGATTAGGCTGGGAGATCCCCCACTCCTTTGCCATCACCTTCACCTGTGCCTCCACTTCCTGAAGGCTGAAGTCTTTCCCTCTACTCTCCACCAGCCTCTGGGTGGTCAGGGCCAGGTTGTGGAGACTAAAATCATCATTGATGAAGTGTGCCCAGAGGGTGAGGTAACGCTGGTTGTTGCCCATCCAGCTGTGGAGCCAAACATCTGCACTGAAGGTGACAAAGTGAGAAATTTTTCTTTGATGGATGGGAGGTCGCCCGTGACTCTTGGGCTCAAACTCGATGGGAGCAGTGTAGTCGTTCATCTCCTCGTCGTTGGTGCAGTCCGACTTTTTCTTTAACAGCTGAATGAGACTCAGCTTGCCTTTAACGTGGTGGCCTCTCAGAAGGCTCTCCAGCTGGCATGACGTCAGCATCTCTTTGTAGGAGGGCAGGATCACTTGCAGCATATGTTTGAAGCCCTCTCCTTCCACCAGAGCTGGGGAATGAAGATCTCTGATGAGGAAGTTGGTGATGGCGTTAGCCACTTGTGTGGGCATTATTGTGGGGGCAGGGGTGATTTGACTGCTGGGGGGCATCACAGGAGGCATGCACCGCATTGGTACTACACAGGAAGAAGGGGGGGGGGGGGGGAGAGAGAGAGAGAGAGAGAAAACCTTCATTAGTGTGACTACTGGCTTTAACAGTAATGTCCCTTTCAAATGAACGCAAAACGGATGGATTTTTAACCATCAGATGCTACAAAACTGTTGATTTCTGTTCTTTCCCATTTGAATTAAAACATTTATTTTATCATTTGTTTTTGAACTGGCTGAAAAATTAACAAAGCTCTTTGTTTTTCACGTTTACAATTTTAATCTTGGATCAAAAACTCAAAATGGAGAAATGAGCCGCAGGACTGGTTTTCAACCAATGCTGTAAAACGATGGACATCTTTAATCAGATTAATCTGGGGTTGCTGTGGATTAACTTTGATTAATCAATAAATATTCATTTTTAATATAAATAAATCTCACGAGAGACAGACTAAAGGAGAATGGACGTTTACTGAACATCCATGTCGACGAAAAAAAAATCCTAAATCTTTACGGTCCTTGTCCGTTTTCCATGATTTGTTGACGCTTCTCGGAGGAGCCTTGGAAAAGCACCTGCATCACCCGCGTAGCGCTCGCGTCCTCCAGGCTAACAAAGGTCTGAGGCGGGCGGACTCACCCTGACGCTCCGGTTGGCAGCTAGCCACGGTGCTAGCTGCGGCTGCAGCATCCCCGGGTAACGGGTGCTTCGCGTTAATGTGGTACTTTAAGCTGCTGGTGCTTCCGTGATAAGAAAATTCCTTCCAGCACATCGTGCACAAGACCTTCTGTCGGTCGACTTGTCCGTCTTCCTTGATTTTAAATTCAAATTTCCCATCGAGGGGACCGACCGGACCGACGTAGCGTTTAGCGTCATCCATGTTGGGGGGTTCAGTCCTGCTGCCTCTTTTCTTTCCTCAAATCTTTATTGATTCAGGAACAATTACACATTTCAACAAGAACAAAGGTGAATGAAATGGACATAAACAAATAAGAGGGCTCGTCGCATTTCAGCACAAACTAACAAACGAATAGAATCCCTTCAGGAGTTCAAATCATACACGGTTTGATGATTTTAGAGTTATTTTATTGTAAGGCTGCACCAGAGCTGCTACCCATGCAAAGTAAAACCCAAGCCCCCATAATTCGGGTCTGGAAATGAAGCAAAACAGGAAGTGACAAAAATTGCAGTTCCACCCTCGTCCACTAGGGGCTGGAGTCAGAAGTGAGCAAATCCTCATTGACTCCCATGTTAAAAATACCAATTTCACAGCAGAAATAAACATGTTTACAGCCTGATTCCAAAACATGTTTTTGTTTAAATGATCTAGTTTACACTCATGACAACTCTGAGGGGGGTGAATGTTTTCTCACTCTTCTGTTTAAGTGTATTAAATGCCTGAAATTCTGAATAATTAATGAGCATCAGACCCACGTGACCACAGAGCTAGCTCCGTGGAAAGGCCTCAGCCTGAAAACTGTTCCGCCATTTTTCAGTCTCTCAACTTAGACCAGTAGTTGTAGCGTTTGTGCGTTCTTTTTGGATTTTATTTGTGCAATTGTTGGACAAAATGACTTGCTGTGGTATTAATTGCACTAATAGAGCGTCCAAGAAGTCTCCACTTCATTTATATTCTTGTATTTTAGGTCAATGCCGCTCTTGCACTAGCTGAGCTTAGATTTTAATATGTACTGTTTAACAATTAATTTAAATGTAATAGAGTAAAACCCAGTGCATTTAACACAATGCTGCACTTTAGAAAATGGGTTGAAATATAACATGATGGTGGAGCTGGGTTCCGACTATCAGTACGGTCCCCTCCCCTCAGTGGCAGCTCGGCGCATCTCTGACTCAGAAGCTCCGGTGTTGTGCACAGTTTACACCGGTTGTGGCTAGGTAGCTATGTCCATTAGCTTAGCTCCCACCTCCGCGTGAGCGTTGGGTTAGCTTGTAGCTACATCGCTTCAGTTCGATGGGTGTCATCATTTGATCCCAGCCTTACAGCCCCACTCTCGGCTCCACCTCTTTTGCCTTTTGTGGAATTGTCTGGGCTTGACGGAACCTGTGACACGGTCAAAATGGCGGTGGTGGCCACCTCCCATTTTGGCACAAAAACTTAATAGTTGGAGCCTATGGACACGAATTGTCCAGTATATAGGTCGATGAGTAAAACTAGAGCAAAATCAATGTGATAACAGGTTTTATTCCAATATAACGTCACATTCTAAAAATATAAATATGTATGACCTTATTGTAACAATAATACAATACAAACGTGGAAACTATATTTTAAGTTGTACGAGAAGTTGATTCACGCATTCATCACCTGTCAGTTGTACTACTCTCTGTACGCTGGTGTCAGCCACGCAGCGACATCACGCTTGCAGATGGTGCAGAATGCCGCTACCAGGCTTTACCATTCACCGGAAGGCGAGATCATATCACTCCTGTCCTTGTTGCACTGCATTGGCTTCCTTTTGGTTTTAGAATTGATTTTAAGATCCTTTTACTGACATTCAAAATGTTGCATGACCAGGGTCCACCTTACTTGAAGGCTTTATTGCAATCTCATGCTCCTCCGAGCATTACGATCGGAGAGTGCCCGTCTTCTGGGAGAGGGTGCTCGCTGCAGAACTACAAAGGCGGAGCTGCACCATAAGGTGGAGCTGCACCAGTCAGCCCCGCCCATTCACGCAAACTCAGCCTAGCCCACTGACTTCCGTTTTTGTTTTTCAACTTTATCGCAAACTAGCCTGACTCTCATGAATTACGGCTGTTACTAGTTTACAGTCGTTAATGCTATGTTCTGTGCTCCAATTAAACAAGATAAATATAACTTGCTACATGACAAAGTCTGAATATATCCCGAAATGAAAAGGTTTCTTTTAGCGAATATCTGCCCACAGCCGCTCCAACAAAACTCCTGTACAACAACATTTGACATTATTATGTAAGTTCTGGTAGTCCAGTGGCAAGATTGTTTGATTTAAGTTTTGCTTTCCCCTCAGCTGATGCTGGTTCGGTTCTCGGTGGGGTCGGCAACAATCTATTTTGCCAGCTGAAACATTTAATTTGTTCATATTTTAGTTGTAATGTTCATTTTCAGCAAAATATTTATGTCTCTACAAGTTCTTTGAATTTGGTCGTTCCTAAACAGCATTTTAGTTGAAACTCTGCTCACAAATGGACTCACACTGGCTAAATAAACGAATGAATAAATAAAAAAACACATTAGTCATTATATGTTAAACGGCATACCAATAAATTGTTGTAAACATAGTACTGGCAAGTGTAGCTAGAAATGAGGAAAAGGGGTTATAGAATATTTCCACTACTGGGAGGCGAACCTGCGCAAAACTGCATGTCAACCTGACACCATAACCACTACACCACCACATCTTATAATACTTGTGTGGCGTTGCATGTTATTGTGCCATCCAGTGTGTCTTTGTAGACGGGATGTATGATTTTTCTGGCGGTGTCTCAGTAGAAGTCATTTCAGAAATAATTTGTCAGAAAATTCACAGAATATCCAGATTTGAGAACCAAGACCAGACCCGCTTCGGGGGAGGAGACCAAATTGAAGCTGAGATGGGAAGAAACTGCATGAATGAGGCCAAAAATGGCTTTGGCGTGTTTCGTATGAGGAAATGACAATATAACATGATTAAAAGTTCCAAAAGTTAGATTTTTAATTATATGGAACCTTTACAAAAACTGTTCAATTCACTTCTCAACTCCGTCCTCAATCTTGCATTTTTTAGCTATAACACCCTCTTTGGTTCCAGAATGCTATAAAGTCTGACAACTGGAAGGAATTGGACTGACTCTGATAGAATGGGCGGGGCTGATTCTGGAATGGGTGGGGCTGACTCTGGTGCAGCTCCACCTTCTGGTGCAGCTCCGCCTTTGTGGTTCTGCAGCGAGCACCACTTGTCTTCTGGTGAGTCCAAGGAACGACTTGTGTGCAGGGGTGGCTCCTAGACTGTGGAACCTGCTTCCCCTTTTTATTAAACAAGCTTCCTCGGTTGGTTGTTTTAAGTCTAATTTATTAGTTTTTACTTCTAAGTGATTTAGCATTTGTACTGTTTTGTACTATTTTGGTTTATGCTTGGTTTGGAATCGGTCCATCTCGCTTTTAGGATCGGAACATTTCACAAGAGGAGCAGAAGCTTGGTGGAATAAGTACGATCTTTGTTCATTTCTAAATCTTCAAAGCACAGGATTTTATCTTCTGAGAGTTGTGCTACAAGTCCAGCTTTCAGTCCAGTGAAACACACATTTGTCCAAAAAAAATCTTAAAATCCACACATCAACAAAACGACAAAAGGTACACAAATTATTTAGGTTAAACTTTTTGAGTGCGTTTTCGCTAAACCCAAGGTCAATAATTCCCAGTGCCTCCCAAATTGATTCAATACACATCCAGTACTTGTTTACACGTCTCAATGTTTCTGATGTCGTATAAAGACATCAATACACATTTGTTTTGTTGTTTACTGTTGAAACTACAGGTCAACTGATATTGGTTTTTTCCATTGCCGATACCGATACTTAGAGGTTATGGTCGGCCGAAGGCTGATACGATTTTTTTAGGCTGAATTTCACGGCCGATAACTAGACATTTTCTACCTTATTTTCATACTAAAATGTCACCCCTATATCAGTTGATGCCATAGACACTGAACTTAACCAACTGTTGAATCTTAATGTCAAAATCAGAGATCCAACAAAAGTTAATCAAATAACTCAATTAACTGACCAAGTATTCAAAACTGGTATATAAAAATATTTTTTGTAGAAAATAATATTTGGAGTGTTTATTATGCAGATGTTATTCAGGAACTTAAATATACATTTAAATTTAATTCTGCAGAAGCACCGGGCTGCCCGTGGCTTTGCCCGACTTCACTAAGGAGATATATCGACCGGTGCAGGCATTTTTAAAAAATGGTAAAAGATGCATTGGTCTATCCCTGGCTGGAACCATATGCAACCAATATAAATTGTGACTAATGAATCTGAACTAAAAGTAAAGGCCCTCAACCACCCGTATCTGCCAAGGCTGGCTCTAAATGTGCCTTGTAAAAGAGCCACTCCGGCTGATTTGTCGCCACCAAATGAAAACTTTGACCCCACTGACTTCCAAACATCTGTTTCTAAGGCATGCATCTTCTGAAGAAGAGAAACCTTGATTTTACAGCACAAAAATAAAGCATTTCTTTTCAAATGATTCCTGATACCTCTGGCATTTGCAGAAATGCTAACACACAGGGAGCCCAAGTCTCCTCCCCTTCTGGTCGGCTCATGGGTCCCTGGAAGAACGAAAAAACGAATGCTAGTCAACGGGAATAAAAGAGCTATGTTCTAACCCGCTCTGCCTTACGCCCCGGATCGCACACATGTTGTACTGCCATTTAAATGAAAAGCAATGAAGCGTGTTTTGGCCACGCCAGTCATGTACTTTGAGATTTATCAGCTTGTAAAAGGTCGTAATTAGCATGATTACAAATGGGACATTGGCATGTTGTACAGGTGCTGGCCAGTAAATTAGAATATCATCAAAAGGTTGAAAATATTTCAGTAATTCCATTCAAAACGTGAAACTTGTACATTATATTCATGCAATGCACACAGACCAATGTATTTCCAATGTTCATTACATTTAAATTTGATATTCATAAGTGACAACTAATGAAAACTCCAAATTTGGTATCTCAAAAAATTAGAATATTCTGAAAAGGCTGAATATAGAAGACACCTGCTGCCACTCTAATCAGCTGATTTACTCAAAACACCTGCAAAGGCCTTTAAAAGGTCCCTCAGTCTTGTTTTGAAGGCACCACAATCATGGGGAAGACTTCTGACTTAACAGCTGTCCAAAAGACAATCATTGACACCTTGCACAAGGAGGGCAAGACACAAAAGGTGATTGCTAAAGAAGCTGGCTGTTCGCAGAGCTCTGTGTCCAAGCACATTAACAGACAGGCGAAGGGACGGAAAAAATGTGGTAGAAAAAAGTGTACAAGCTCTAGGGATAACCGCACCCTGCAGAGAATTGTGACGACAAACCCATTCAAAAATGTGGGGGAGATCCACAAAGAGTGGACTGCAGCTGGAGTCAGCGCTTCAAGAACCACCACGAGGAGACTCATGAAAGACATGGGATTCAGGTGTCGCATTCCGTGTGTCAAGCCACTCTTGAACATGAAACAGCGCAAGAAGCGTCTCGCCTGGGCCAAGGACAAAAAGGACTGGACTGATGCTGAGTGGTCCAAAGTTATGTTTTCTGATGAAAGCAAGTTCTGCATTTCCTTTGGAAATCAAGGACCCAGAGTCTGGAGGAAGAGCGGAGAAGCACAGAATCCACGTTGCATGAGGTCCAGTGTAAAGTTTCCACCGTCAGTGATGGTGTGGGGTGCCATGTCATCTGCCGGTGTTGGCCCACTCTGTTTCCTGAGGTCCAGGGTCAATGCAGCCGTCTACCAGGAAGTTTTAGAGCACTTCATGCTTCCTGCTGCTGACCAACTTTATGGGGATGCAGACTTCACCTTTCAACAGGACTTGGCACCTGCACACAGTGCCAAAACCACCAGCACCTGGTTCAAGGACCATGGTATCCCTGTCCTTGATTGGCCAGCAAACTCGCCTGACCTTAACCCCATAGAAAATCTATGGGGTATTGTGAAGCGGAGGATGCAATACGCTAGACCCAACAATGCAGAGGAGCTGAAGACGACTATCAGAGCAACCTGGGCTCTCATAACACCTGAGCAGTGCCACAGACTGATCGAGTCCATGCCACGCCGCATTACTGCAGTTATTGAGGCAAAAGGAGCCCCGACTAAGTATTGAGTGCTATACATGCACATTCTTTTCATGTTCATTCTTTTCAGTTGGCCAACATTAGAGAAACAAACATTTTTTCATTGGCCTTTAGAATATTCTAATTTTCTGAGATACCAGATTTGATGTTTTCATTGGTTGTCACCTATAAATATCAAATTTAAATGTAATGAACATTGGAAATACATTGGTCTGTGTGCATTGCATGAATATAATGTACAAGTTTCACGTTTTGAATGGAATTACTGAAATATTTTCAACCTTTTGATGATATTCTAATTTACTGGCCAGCACCTGTATATGTGACGTCACCACAGAACCTCCTCCTGACTTCGGCTCCCTTTTGAACCAACACTAAAGTAGAATTATAACAGAGCTTCACTTAGCTGCAAAAGCTAAAACGTTTACCGATTACTAACCAGAACTTGGAGAAACGCTGGTCACCTGACATATGGACCAAGGTGACCTTTCTTCAGTGATATTTCCTTCTAGCCTGGCCTGCCAGACTCGTCCTCTGTTTAATTCTGCACAGAGAGAGAGTCTGGTAACTCACAGGCAGCGAGGCACTTGAGGGGCGGGACTAGGCAGCTCAAAAATGACCAATCAGGAAAAAAAAGACGGAAATCCCGACTGTACCGCACAACATTGTAGTTTTCTAGTTGTAGTGAAAAAAATAGGCGCCTGGCAACGGCGCAAACATCTTTTTTTTTTTTTTTTTAGAAGAAATGCTTTTAGCGCTTCTACTTGCTGTGGTTTTAAAGACATCTGGGTCATTTAGAACGGAGGAAAGAGTCGCAGCGAACTCCGTCGCCGTCTTCGTTGTTTATGAGAAACTGAGCGCCGCCGTGTGTGACGTCCGCGATGCTGTAGTTTGTTTTAGCTGTAGTAAAAATGGAGTCTGGCGACAGCGCAAACATCTTTGTTTAGAAGAAAGGCTTTTAGCGCTTCTACTTGTTGTAGTTTTAAAGACATGTTCAAATTATTTAGAAAAAAGAGCCGCAGCGAACTCCACTTCAGTCACCATGTTTATGACAAACTCGGCGTTGTGGTGTGTGACGTACGATACTCAGCGCTGATTGGCTCGGTTAGAATTCTCAGGGGGCGGGGTTATTTGAACAGGAGAGTTCCCAGACCCTTTCTGTGTGCAGAATTAAACAGAGGAGGAGTCTGGCAGGCCAGACTAATTTCCTTCTACTATTTGGCTCCTTTTTTTCCCGCCTCTTCCACAGCGGGATCTCATTTTCCAGGACGTTGCTGTGTGTAACCCTTTCTACAGCTCATCGCTTACCGTTCTGGACATAAGTCTGATGATCGCAGGTCAGGGCTGTGGACTGGGTTACTCATCATCACGCTGACAGAGATCTCCAAACCTGAGGACGACATCTATGGCTGCTGCCACCATTCCAGCCTCGGCAGTTGGTGGTACGGTTTGGACACATATCTTTGATGAAGGTTTACTTTTACTTCCAAGGAGACCATATAACCAAAGGTTAAGCCCGATGAAGCATTCAGCCTTGTGGACTTTGACCTTCTCCGTTTCGGTTTTCTCCAGAAGATTGCTGAAGTGAAGGATTCAGCTTTTTTGAGTTGACTTCTTGGTGACATAATTCCAGTGATTTCTTAGAGCCATCAGTCTGATTATTATTACAGTGTGCAGCTTTGTCAGTTCAACGAAACGACCTCCGAGTTACAGGCCCTTCTAAAAAAAATAGCATATTGTGATAAAGTTCATTATTCTCTGTAATGTACTGATAAACATTAGACTTTCATATATATTAGATTCGTTACACACAACTGAAGTAGTTGAAGCCTTTTATTGTTTCTAATATTGATGATTTTTGGCGTACAGCTCATGAAAACCCAAAATTCCTATCTCAAAAAATTAGCATATTTTATTTGACCAATAAAAGAAAAGTGGTTTAAATACAAAAAAAAGTCAACCTTCAAATAATTATGTTCAGTTATGCACTCAATACTTGGTCGGGAATCCTTTTGCAGGAATGACTGCTTCAGTGCGGCGTGGCATGGAGACGATCAGCCTGTGGCACTGCTGAGGTGTTATGGAGGCCCAGGATGCTTCGATAGCGGCCTTAAGCTCATCCAGAGTGTTGGGTCTTGCGTCTCTCAACTTTCTCTTCACAATATCCCACAGATCCTCTACAGGGTTCAGGTCAGGAGAGTTGTCTGGCCAACTGAGCACAGTAATACCATGGTCAGTAAACCATTTACCAGTGGTTTTGGCACTGTGAGCAGGCGCCAGGTCATGCTGAAAAATGAAATATTCATCTTCATAAAGCTTTTCAGCAGATGGAAGCACGAAGTGCTCCAAAATCTCCTGATGGCTAGCTGCATTGACCCTGCCCTTGATAAAACACAGTGGACCAACACCAGCAGCTGACATGGCACCCCAGACCATCACTGACTGTGGGTACTTGACACTGGACTTCAGACATGTTGGCATTTCCCTCTGCCTGGTCTTCCTCCAGACTCTGGCACCTTGATTTCCGAATGACATGCAAAATTTGCTTCAATCTGAAAAAAGTACTTTGGTCCGCTGAGCAACAGTCCAGTGCTGCTTCTCTGTAGTCCAGGTCAGGCGCTTCTGCCGCTGTTTCTGGTTCAAAAGTGGCTTGACCTGGGGAACGCGGCACCTGTAGCCCATTTCCTGCACACGCCTGTACACGGTGGCTTTACTCCAGACTCAGTCCACTGCTTCCGCAGGTCCCCCAAGGTCTGGAATCGGTCCTTCTCTACAATCTTCCTCAGGGTCCGGTCACCTCTTCTCGTTGTGCTGCTTTTTCTGTCACACTTTTTCCTTCCCACTGAGGTGCCTTGATACAGCCCTCTGGGAACAGCCTGTTAGTTCAGAAATTTCTTTCTGTGGCTTACCCTCTTGCTTGAGGGTGTCATTGATGGCCTTCTGGACAGCAGTCAGGTCGGCAGTCTTACCCATGATTGTGGTTTTGAGTAATGAACCAGGCTGGGAGTTTTTAAAAGTCTCAGGAATCTTTTGCAGGTGTTTAGAGTTAATTAGTTGATTCAGATGATTAGGTCAATAGCTAGTTTAGAGAACCTTTTCATGATATGCTAATTTTTTGAGATAGGATTTTTGGGTTTTCATGAGCTGTATGCCACAATCATCAATATTAGAAACAATAAAAGGCTTGAACTATTTCAGTTATGTGTAATGAATCTATTATATATGAAAGTCTAACGTTTATCAGTACATTACAGAAAATAATTAACTTTATCACAATATGTTAATTTTTTGAAAAGGACCTGTATATCCATGCACCATGCAGTGGCGGGTTACAGCGGTGCTTTGTCATAATATAGTCCCAAGTCCAGATCAGCTCCTGCAAATACCCCGTGTTACTTCTTACATCTCATTTGCAGTCAACGTGATTATTGAGCTCAATGAGAATAATTGGTATCATTATTGAGTCATTTGCAACCAAAATGCTACTAGTTCCCACTCACTTCCATTGTTTATGCTAGACAAAAGCAAACGGACGGCTGCCAGACCAGGAGAATTACTGCGCTGGTCACAAAATGCTTTTTCCCTCCTAATCTGGGGAATGTGGTAATAGACTAAATTTCAATTTCAGGTGGAATATCCCTTTAAGTCTTAGTGTTTTAGTCCTCTTAAGCTAGTCGTCCCAAATTTATCAGTTCCCTGATGCCAAACTGATGTTCCAAAGTTGTTCCACACACTCACAAGACGCTTTATTTTGTTACTTCAGTCTTTCTAAAAGTTTAGGTGACAGATTATATTTCAGCAGGTTGTGCAGCAAAATTTAGCTCTAATATATAAATCTGCCCATTCTCCAAGCTTCATGGTAGGACCGAGACTTTTACTATTGTGTGTTTCGGGTAGTTTAACTTAAAAACTGATTCTAGATCCACCAGTTCAATCGCTACAACCTACGAACTGGTAATGGAAAGTAATTTAACGTCTTTCACTCCTATTTAAAAATCTCAAACTGGATTTGATAGGTTCTGCTGACTGTCACTACCTGGTCGACCGGCCAGTTGCACAAGTGCAACGGTAACTCTTGGACAAACTGTCTGAAATGTAAAAACATGCAGGAATCAAGTCATTCTGTGCAGCAGATGGGTTCATTTTGTTAAAGACCAAGTTCACTTGGTTTTTTTGTTTTGTTTTCAACACATTTGCAGGGGTCTCTAGTACAAATTAAAGGGGCATTATGGAAGTGTGACAGCCAAAACAAGTACAGGTGCTGGCCAGTAAATTAGAATATCATCAAAAGGTTGAAAATTTTTCAGTAATTCCATTCAAAACGTGAAACTTGTACATTATATTCATGCAATGCACACAGACCAATGTATTCCCAATGTTCATTACATTTAAATTTGATATTCATAAGTGACAACTAATGAAAACTCCAAATTTGGTATCTCAAAAAATTAGAATATTCTGAAAAGGCTGAATATAGAAGACACCTGCTGCCACTCTAATCAGCTGATTTACTCAAAACACCTGCAAAGGCCTTTAAAAGGTCCCTCAGTCTTGTTTTGAAGGCACCACAATCATGGGGAAGACTTCTGACTTAACAGCTGTCCAAAAGACAATCATTGACACCTTGCACAAGGAGGGCAAGACACAAAAGGTGATTGCTAAAGAAGCTGGCTGTTCGCAGAGCTCTGTGTCCAAGCACATTAACAGACAGGCGAAGGGACGGAAAAAATGTGGTAGAAAAAAGTGTACAAGCTCTAGGGATAACCGCACCCTGCAGAGAATTGTGACGACAAACCCATTCAAAACTGTGGGGGAGATCCACAAAGAGTGGACTGCAGCTGGAGTCAGCGCTTCAAGAACCACCACGAGGAGACTCATGAAAGACATGGGATTCAGGCGTCGCATTCCGTGTGTCAAGCCACTCTTGAACAAGAAACAGCGCAAGAAGCGTCTCGCCTGGGCCAAGGACAAAAAGGACTGGACTGATGCTGAGTGGTCCAAAGTTATGTTTTCTGATGAAAGCAAGTTCTGCATTTCCTTTGGAAATCAAGGACCCAGAGTCTGGAGGAAGAGCGGAGAAGCACAGAATCCACGTTGCATGAGGTCCAGTGTAAAGTTTCCACCGTCAGTGATGGTGTGGGGTGCCATGTCATCTGCCGGTGTTGGCCCACTCTGTTTCCTGAGGTCCAGGGTCAATGCAGCCGTCTACCAGGAAGTTTTAGAGCACTTCATGCTTCCTGCTGCTGACCAACTTTATGGGGATGCAGACTTCACCTTTCAACAGGACTTGGCACCTGCACACAGTGCCAAAACCACCAGCACCTGGTTCAAGGACCATGGTATCCCTGTCCTTGATTGGCCAGCAAACTCGCCTGACCTTAACCCCATAGAAAATCTATGGGGTATTGTGAAGCGGAGGATGCAATACGCTAGACCCAACAATGCAGAGGAGCTGAAGACGACTATCAGAGCAACCTGGGCTCTCATAACACCTGAGCAGTGCCACAGACTGATCGAGTCCATGCCACGCCGCATTACTGCAGTTATTGAGGCAAAAGGAGCCCCGACTAAGTATTGAGTGCTATACATGCACATTCTTTTCATGTTCATTCTTTTCAGTTGGCCAACATTAGAGAAACAAACATTTTTTCATTGGCCTTTAGAATATTCTAATTTTCTGAGATACCAGATTTGATGTTTTCATTGGTTGTCACCTATAAATATCAAAATTAAACGTAATAAACATCGGAAATACATTGGTCTGTGTGCATTGCATGAATATAATGTACAAGTTTCACGTTTTGAATGGAATTACTGAAATATTTTCAACCTTTTGATGATATTCTAATTTACTGGCCAGCACCTGTATAGAAATAATAAATGTCTTCTTCATACATTCTCCTGCAATGCCCTGGTCCTGTAGAATGAGCCCTGGCATTTTTACTGTGATTGCCTGTTTTTCTGTGAAATCACAGAAAAAGAGAGATGCTCGGGTCGAGCAGGCTGCTTCATGCGCGTTCACGGTCAGGCATAGCCCTCCAAACCGTTCTTAACTGGTACGGATACGAGTGACATCACTGGCGCGTAAAGCCTGGTTTATGCTTGACGCATTCACTTTCCGCGCGGTGATGCGGCTCGCGGATGGAACGCGCTTCACAACTAGCAGCGTTTATGGTTCATGCGGCTCGTCTCTGCGGTGAGCCAATATTCTCCCAAACTGTAGGGGGCAGCATGGAGCTCTACAGCATGCATCCAACACTACACCATAGTAGAAGTATAAATTACTGTTGTTTACAACATGGCGTTCCAGCATTTTTAACAGCGTTCTCGTCTTTTCCGACAGTGCGAGCTATTTCTCTCCAAGAATTATTAACAACATGTTGATCACGGTGATCTCTGAGAGCTGAATCATACAAATGTCTGTATTTACCAACCTCTGCCATACTAGTTCTTGCCGGTCCGACATGTTTTTCCGCGTCCGACCGTCCGCGTGGTTAGAATCTTTCCTAGGTGCGTGTTGCGGAAATTTTGGGCCGAGCGGAGACGCAGTGGAGGGGCGTGGTTGTTAAAATGACTAGATTTCGCCATGCGGACCTCATGGACGCGTCAAACATAAACCAACCTTTAGCTCGCCTGGTAAGACGTCGGACTTTCATGCAAAAGACCTGGGTTTGATTCCGGATGTGAACATAGTTTCTTTTTTACATTAATGGTATATTTTTTTACAGTAAGATGCCCAAATTTTTATTTGAGACTCGCCGAACGGCATTGAATTCACAGATAAAAAAGATGTGGGTTCAACTTTCATTTTGGAACAATTTTTCAAGCAAGGGAAGGGAATGATCTGAGCATGCAGGAGGACTGACCCATCATAAACCTTTGTCGGCTGTGCTGAAGAGAGAGGTACAGAACCTAATTATTTAATTAATTAGCTGCACGTTCTCCTGTCCTCTGTCCTCCGGGCCACACACACACACAGAGCTGACTGTCTCAGCTGTTATTTTCGTTAAGGAGTGTGCACGTACAGCATGCGCGCCTCGTGCACGAGCCTACTATTGAAGCTGCCGTTACGCTTTTGGCCTGAGGGGGCAATCGCGAGGATAAAAATTCAAAACTCCGTAAAGTCCCTTTAATGCTCTGGGAAACGATCCCTAATCCTTACCGGGGTCGTCTGCGGCAGGTTACGGCAGTGTCACGTGTCTGTCAAATAGAAGCCACTCTAGTGTGGTGAGATCTACATCCCAGAAGCGTCTAGCTGCACCACTAAACATAGAATTGGGTTCTATTTTCACCAGGAAATCACATACAGCATTAAGTGTAAAGCATCTGGTAAATTTCAAAATAAAAGACTATTGCAGAGTTATGATTCCTACATGCAACTTAAATAACCCAAACCGTTTAGTTTGGCGTTGAACTCTTCGTTACCTGGTGGCAGAATCCGATCCTTGTTGAGGTCACGAGGTTTGATGTGATGTTTGCTGGTCAGGTGGGCTTGGAGATCCAATGGACCTCCCACACAGTTCACACGCTCCATGCACAACTTACACACCGCCGTGTTGCGGTCCAGAGGCCGACCAGTCGGGTCGGGTTCCAGCCCAAAGAAGTGCCAGGGGCTGGCCTGGTTGGCATTTGGGTTGTTCAGCAGTTTCTCTGCTCCGGGCATAAAATCATATTTGTCCATCACAGTTGGGATGGAGGACTGCAGGGAAAACTGGGAGGTGGAGGGCAATGTTGAGCCCAGCATGGAACCCGGTGACAAGCCTGACATCGAGCCTGCCAAAGAGCCCAGCACCGAGCCTGGATCATTAGCCGATTCTGGGTTTGACACGGTTGTGACCTCACTGATGACGGGCATGGGGCTCTGTGATTGGCTGCAGTCAGACCAAAGTGAGGTACTGCTGGGTTCGGGGAGTGTGACCAGCTGGATGTCCTGCAAGAGCCTCAGAGCCGTCTCCTTGTCCCCAACTTCACATTTTTCATTGTCGCCTGCATCACAAACACAAGATGAACTTCACAAACACACACACACACAATAATTTTCAGATAGTAATCAGCGGGATGTTTCCATATCAAACAACGGTTACCCTGATGGGACAAGACTCACCCATTCCCAGACCCAGAAGAGAAGCATAATCCTTCCCAATCCAGACTCGGAGCTCTGCGCCTTCTGAAATGTGCTGGGAAACCCGATAATAGATGTGACGGTAAAACTGGAAAACAACCAGGTTGTGTTCGCTCTCGTTGCTCGTATATCGCACGTACCTGAAACACGAACACACGCAGGGGTCCCGTTTCCCGTTTTCCAAAAACAAACAAACAAACAAGTCACACACCAGCACAGCTGCTCACCTCATCCAGTTGGATTTGTTTTCATCAGAAGCATCCAGAAAGGTGAACGCAGAATCATCTCGAATCTAAAGGTGTTCCACACGCGCACACACACACACACACACCACACACCACACACCACACACCACACACACACACACACACACACACACACACACACACACACACACACACACACACACACACACACACACACACACACACACACAACCAGCAGATCAGACACGATTTACTTAAATCGTCTCTCCAAATCTAAAGATTTCAAACTTATATACTTTTTTTTTTATAAATTAGAAAAGTACGTGTCAATTCTTGCGTTTGTTGAGAACGTGTCCTTTTCAACGTCTCACATCTGGAGAAATGTAGTTTGTATTAGGGCTGCACAATATATCGAAAAATTATCATCATCGGGATAACAGGACGTGTGATAGGCCCATCGCAAAGCACGGCAAAAACGGCGATAAATGATTGGTTCAAACATTCCCATCCGTGTCATACATCAGCTTTTTGTAAACCAGCTCTGTTTTTTACGCAGAAGTATTATTTGACCAATCAAATGTAGCCTTTCTGATATGCGGCCAATCAGATGGGTCTGTTCACGTAATACGCCCGCCCCCTACATAGACCCTTAGGATGGAAAGCAACACCCGAACTGAGTTAGCGGCGCTAGGGCTGCTCGATTATGGCAAAAATAATAATCACGATTATGGTGACTGAAATTGAGATCACGATTATTTAAGACAATTTTTCAATTTATGTTGATTTTATTTGTTTTTATTCAGTCATAAAATTGCTCAGGGCACAATCAGGACAAAAGTAAGAAACAAAATGATCACTAAAAGAACTCCTGATCCCCAGTATAAAAAGACTGATATACTTATAGCTCATAGTCTATGGCCCAAGGGCTAAAGACCTTGGTTTAACTCATTTAAGTCTAACCAGTACAGACCCAAATACCAATACCTTGCAAATACTGACAGCAAGAATTATACAGTGGCATTTATAACAAATAAATGCAAATAAATTGATGTTCACAATAGGGCTGCAACAACGAATCGATGAATTCGATGAAAATCGACTACTAAAAGCGTTGGCAACGAATTGCGTCATCGATTCGTTGTGTCGCACAACTATTCCAAAAGCGCCCCCCCCCCCCCTTCCCGCCCGCCGTTGCGCGCAGACCAGAGCAAGTCAGATCAGCGCGAGGGAGAGCCGGCAGATCAGCGCGAGGGAGAGCCGGTACCGGCAGATCAGCGCGAGGGAGAGCCGGTACCGGCAGATCAGCGCGAGGGAGAGCCTGCAGACTTGCGCTGCTGCGAACCGGTTCCGCATTGTTGCACAGCGATCCAGGCGGCTGCTTCCAGCGCACGGTCCATTATCAAAGTGGCGCAACCAAAAAACTATAATTAGCACACGATCGTTCTCGTCTGCACATGTTCTCTATTTTCTGTCTTATTTGTGCCTGAAGCGCGCTACTGCGGAGCTCATCACCTGTGCTGCGGTGATTTCACCTCACGCAGCATCGAAAACGCGGTCTGCGCTTTTCGGTCAGGAGACCTTTGATCTGCTCAAAAGTAACTGATGAGGTGAAAAGGTAAGAATCCAGGCAACAGATTTTCTGGAGAATTAAGAGGAGATGCAGGAAGATGAGAGACAGACAGGACAGGAAAATAGTTAAATAAAAACAAGAAAACAAAACAAAGTGTTGAAAAGTAAAATGTTGGTAGATTTATCTCCACGACACGTTTTTACCAGTAAAAAACAATAAGTTATACACATGTCATATTTATACATCTGATACAATTCAGATCACCTTCAAAACTCAGTCACACACCCAGGGCCGTTTCAAGACATTTTGGGGGCCAAGGCAAAATGCCCCCCACCCCCCCACCCCCCACCCCAATAACTGGGCTCCCCAGAAGCCTCTGTGTAATTCATGCCCTCTCCAGTAGTGTTAGTTATATGGTGTTTATAAAAGCCCCTCAGACATTACTGACATGTTCTAATATTATCAGATGAAAAACTAAATTATCAGACATGCTGTCTCATGTGCTTCTTTTATAAACTTGCAAAAAGTAACAAAACCATTTGAAAGCCACTATTTGTGGATTCTCTGAAAGTTTCCATGGAGTGTGTGACAACTTATTTTTTCATTGATCCTATCGTCTAATCTCACAGCTGAAACAAGTATCCTTAATAATCTGTGCACAGGAAGCTTACCGATGCTGTAGTAAAACAAAAGGTATAATAATTTATTATTAATAAAACCTTGTTGCAGCACTAAAGCAGAAAAATGAGATTTTGCATTAAATATGCAAAATATTTACATATGAATTGTTTTAGAGCCCTTTTATTGGCAGAATCTGATATTAATTTAGTTCTTACAAAAAATGGGTCCCAACATGGTTTGTGTGGCGTTGCCATAGTGTGACGTCATAGGCACAGATCCCCTGTCCTCTTGTTTGGAAATGGAAATATGGTCACCCTATATTAAACAAACTGTCCACCCGGGCTTTTGCGCTGCACAGAGACGCTTCGCTGCCTATGACTTTGAACGTCAGTTGAGAGTCAGTCTCATGCAGACTGACCAATGAAGAGAGGGCCTCAAGTTAAGACCCTCTCCTCATTGGTCAGTCCACACGAGGTGGGTCAAAGGAGTACTGCATATTACAGTAAAATATTCTGTATGTGACCACATTATGGTGATCCTCGGGTCGTGATGATGGAGCCCTTGAATATTGTTGCCCAGGGTACAACAAAGTGTTAATCTGGCCCTGGTTCCACCGTCACATTCCCGCAGAAACTGGTTGATCACACCGGGGCCAGACTACTAGCATGTGGTTTTACAACCACAATGTCCTCAGAAGCAAAAACGCTTTTAAAAGGGAGGGAGGAGTCCTAACTGTTGCTGCAGGCGTGTTGTGTGAGAGTGCAGTTATATACTGGTTAATATATTTTTGGGTTCAGTTGCTTTCATGTGGCCTAATGTGAGTCTATTTGGGATCATTGGAATGATCAGCAGCATTTCTTGATGTGACTTTATGGCAGTTGCCCAGGGCATCATCGCAAGGAGGATGGCATTCATTTACTTTTGTTTTATTTGGTATTTTTTCAGTCATTTTTGGAAATAGTGATCAATTTTGATTAATTCACAGCCTATGTTTAATTACATTTAAAATAAATGTCAACAGATGAGATCAAACAAAACAGATGAGAATTGCCCTTAAGCTGTTTAACTTGGACCAAGCATTTTAGGTCACAGATAGATGTAGCTTAGGGTCTCTGTCTATACACCTTATAAGACAATTTAGGTGATGGCATGTTGTTTTTCTGCTATTGAACTGTTTTCTAATAATGTTGTGTTAAATAAAGTGAAGGAAGGAGAGAAATAACGTTTCCCTAGCAGTTTTTAAAAATTTCCCCATGTAATCCGATTAATCGATTAATCGTGTCGAGACCCCATCCGATTAATCGATTATCCAAATAATCGTTTGTTGCAGCCCTAGTTCACAAAATGTTGCATAATACGTATTTAGTCGTGTCAAGGTGCTGTAGGAGAGTGCACTAGCATCGTGTCCTCAGAGAGGTTAGTCATTAGTTATCAGCGTGAGGAACTTATTTCTATCTTATTTATAAACTATTTATTTACAAGTCGTCCATCAGTTAATGAAATAATTGTCCCAACCACAGCTGCACCCCCCAACCCCCCACCCGGTCTCACAGCAATCGGGGCAAGCTGCACGTGTGTTTAGCAAGCCGCACGCGCACATTTAGCCATTTTTAGTGGCTCAGGAGTCCGCAGGTGCGGTGTGTGTGTCACTCACTCTGGTTAATCCAACAGGGAGCCGGCTCCGAGAGCTGTTTCTGTAGCGACTGACACATCACTACATCATTCCCTTTCCTATAATGTCCTGAAGAACGGTCCGGAGCACAGGCGGAGTGTTTAGCTAACCTGCAGGAAATGTCGACGACAGTTATCCAGAAAGTAGCTAAGGGTTTCCAGAGATGTTTCTCAGGTGTTCGCTAGGTACTTTTAAGTTCAAAAGTCAAGGGGGGTTCTGAAAAGATGCTAGAAATAGCGTCAAAGTCACTAAGTTGGCAACACTGTGGGAGGAGCGCTTCATTTGCAACTCAGGGCAGCGCAAGCGGGAGGAGCAAATAATCGGCTTGTTTCGTTTTTTATAATCGTTCAAAACTCAGATCGTAATCGTGATTAAAATTCGATTAATTGAGCAGCCCTCAGCGGCGCTGTTCCCTTGTTTGTCATGCTGGCTCAGAGCAACGAACGCACTTTGCGCTGATGTTTCTGGAATCAGCGCTGCTTTCAAACGTGAACGCGAGTCCGCTCGGTGTCGTTAAGCAGCTGATAATAACCGGGCTGACTCCGACACGTGCCGGTGAACCAACCCACCTCCCTTCATGTCGCTAGTGTTCCACCGGGTGGTGACATTAGCCCCAGGCTCCGGTTAGCTTCCAGCTAAAAGGCTACAGCACTCTCCTCCCAGTCCCACCCTGCTAAAGAGGGCCTGGAAAAGTTCCCCCACACATCAAAGTGATTTTTCATTTATGAGCTTTTATAACCTTGTTAATCAGGATAGTTGATTTGCTGCTGCACATAAACTGTCAGTCAGAAGCTCTGCTAGCCGGTTATCTTAGAGGAGCTAGTTCAATTTGTTAGCTTGTTATCAGAATCATAGTTGCAGTTTCATCATCTGAGCTGCTTTTTAAGATCTAGGTAAACTTGTTCAATTTGGGGTTAAAAACAAACGTTTTCACATATTTTCCATGTAGTTTTTTTTGCCAGTTCCTCTTCTGAAAGGTAGACAATTGTTTTTCTCTTTCCCTCAAAAAATCTTAATATTCTCCTAGTTTGGCCCAGCACAGTTCACTTCCCAATTACAGCAACATCCTTATATCATAACCACATAAGTGGAGAAAATGTTCAGTAGCAATGAGCGAATTTGCTGTTGCATTTAAGTGATGTTAACTATTATTTAACATTTAAACTATTTATTCTAAAACCCTGGTAAGGGATGTTTTTCTGTATTTGGAGCATCAGAAAAAGTTTTATGGTGGAGGTGATGTTTTAAAGTCACTGAGAAACTGCATGCATGCAGTTTGTTGTTTTGCTGCTAATACAGTAGCAGGTGCAGCTGCTAATACAGTAGCAGGTGCAGCTGCTAATACAGTAGCAGGTGCAGCTGCTAATACAGTAGCAGGTGCGGCTGCTAATACAGTAGCAGGTGCAGCTGCTAATACAGTAGCAGGTGCGGCTGCTAATACAGTAGCAGGTGCAGCTGCTAACACAGTAGCAGGTGCGGCTGCTAATACAGTAGCAGGTGCAGCTGCTAATACAGTAGCAGGTGCGGCTGCTAATACAGTAGCAGGTGCGGCTGCTAATACAGTAGCAGGTGCAGCTGCTAATACAGTAGCAGGTGCAGCTGCTAATACAGTAGCAGGTGCAGCTGCTAATACAGTAGCAGCTGCTAATACAGTAGCAGGTGCAGCTGCTAATACAGTAGCAGGTGCAGCTGCATATTATTTCAATAAAAATGTTATGTTGTAATGGAATTCATGCATTAGTTTTTGTTTGCTTTGAACCCAGAGCAGACGTCACACGCCAGACGACATCAACACTGCATACTTTAGTATTTGTTCATTTATCGTGAGTAATATCGATATCGCAATATTAAGCAATGTCATTTTCCTAATATCGTGCAGCTCTAGTTTGTAACACAACAGGTGTCGGTTTACTCACCGCCCAGGCGTACTTCAGGTTGTTTGGTATTTGTCCTTTGCACACGTCCCCCAGGAAGGGTCCAAACATGACCCCCTGCTGAAGCTGGCACTTGGCGTACACCCTCATCTCCCCTAGTTCTTCACCCAAAGACCCCGGACTGGATGTTCCAGGCAGATTGAGCTTGGACAGACACAGACAGGACGGCAGGGACAGCACAGCCCTGAAGGGGCCCCCACGGAGCCACGGCTCCCCAGGAGGAACCACCGCATCTGGGACATAATTAGAGTTGGAAGGGGGCTGGAGAAACGGCACGTCCTCACTAATGTCTTCATGGCTGATATCCAGAGCTGGTGGTAAACAAAGGAGAAATGTTTGTCATGATTACATTAATGCCAGATTCTGATGCTGGAGGATTAACACACCTCTGGTGTAGGATCACAGACTACAGGATTAAGCTAATCCTGTAGCAAAGTTTGACTCTTTTGTTCATCGAGTCTGCATTTTTTCATTTTTACGGAAATGTTCTTTAAACATCTTCATTACTGGAATGTTTTGCAACAACTTATTCAAAGAGTGAACAGACATGGGCCAGCTTTACAATGGTTACATTTCTATTATTTTAAAAGTTCAGTCTAGTTTTTTTCTGATTCATTTTATTAAACTTCTCCTGGTTGTCTACTAGGGGTTGTATCAGCTAGTCGACTTCACTGCTCTATAGTGAATTTTTATGCCTGTCATCGACTAGTCGCTGTCACGTGATAATGACAGACAAGATGGCGTCCTCGGAAAAGACAGCAGGTGATGAGCCCCTGCGCGTAGGGAGGCGATGCGCTGTGCCAGAGCGTCGGTACTGACGCCCGCCGTAAAACGGACATTTGACCGAATTGTGACCTTTACCCTTTTGCAATTTACGCCGGGGACACACCGGCCGCGGAAGCGCCGAGAAGCGAATCGCTCATGAAATTCGGCTGCTGCTCGCCGCTCCTCAGTTCAGATCAGACGCGCCCCAGTCGAGGCGCGCCTCGGCTCAGCTGTAGTTTTCCTTTTAAACACTTGGTGTCCTCCATTTCCTCTCTGCCTTTTCTCAGCTCTTTTCCTCTACGTGTGTGTGTGTGTGTGTGTGTGTGCGTGCGTGTGTGTGTGTGTGTGAACCTATGGTATGAGTTGTTTCTGCCAGTTGAATCTCTTGGAACCCGCTCCGATTCTGCAGCTGTATCCTAGCAGTTTCTTCCGACATGGGTACGTAAATAATCATGTTTTTCGGGGGTCGTACAGCTCCTTGTGTTTCTCATCTTCCATAATTAATTTAAAGTCATCCATCTTAACTGCTTGCCTCAGACTTTCTGCCTCTCTGTCCTGTTTGCTCCGGTGAAAAGACACCCAAAACCACTCCCCCCTTCACGTGGTCACACACGCACACAAGTTCGATGTGTGTGTATGTGTGTGTGGTTTTTCTGCAGTGTCTGATTACGAACACATTTGACTATTGCGGAATTTTATTTTGAAATGCTTTATTTTGTTAACTTTACCGGCCTGCCTCTTATGTCTAGGTTTGACTTCCTGCCAGAATTGACGCGATTCACCCGCGGCTCGCGAAAAAAATAGAGCAGACGCCGAAATGATCGCTGCACGGCGCGGGTTGGAGCGCCGGCGCGAGGCGCTTCGCGGCGCTTCGGCGGCCCATGTGGTCTATAGAATAGCTTAACAAGGGCGCCGAATGAAGGCGGTCCCATTTTCGCGGCGCTTCCGCGGCCAGTGTGTCCCCGGCGTTAACCTTCCCCTCACCCCCATCCTAACCTTAACCAGCGTGCGCATACAAAGCTCTGATTGTTGACGCGCTCCAGACATCTGCGTCCTGAGCACGGCCACAGTAACATTATCAAATCAGGTGTCGCCACCTCAAAAACTAATTTAACACGCGATCATTCATGTCGGCTCGTTTCAGACACCATTGAAGGTAATCAGAAGTGAGGAACAGGACATGAAATAATTATTTTAATGTTTAGAGCAGCAGGAACTCTGAGAGGCTGCTGGCGCATCAGTGAATTTGCGGCCGCTGCGCAGGGGGAGGGGGCTGAAGCAGGGCGAGGGTGGGAGAGGGCTGAAGCAGGGAGGGGGGGGAGAGGGCTGAAGCAGGGGGAGGAGGGAGAGGGCTGAAGCAGGGGGAGGAGGGAGAGGGCTGAAGCAGGGAGAGGGGGGGAGAGGGCTGAAGCAGGGAGAGGGGGGGAGAGGGCTGAAGCAGGGAGAGGGGGGGAGAGGCCTGAAGCAGGGGGAGGAGGGAGAGGGCTGAAGCAGGGAGAGGGGGGGAGAGGGCTGAAGCAGGGAGAGGGGGGGAGAGGGCTGAAGCAGGGAGAGGGGGGGAGAGGCCTGAAGCAGGGAGAGGAGGGAGAGGGCTGAAGCAGGGAGAAGGGGGGAGAGGGCTGAAGCAGGGAGAGTGGGGGAGAGGGCTGAAGCAGGGAGAGGGGGGGAGAGGGCTGAAGCAGGGGGAGGAGGGAGAGGGCTGAAGCAGGGGGAGGAGGGAGAGGGCTGAAGCAGGGAGAGGGGGGGAGAGGGCTGAAGCAGGGAGAGGGGGGGAGAGGGCTGAAGCAGGGAGAGGGGGGGAGAGGCCTGAAGCAGGGGGAGGAGGGAGAGGGCTGAAGCAGGGAGAGGGGGGGAGAGGGCTGAAGCAGGGAGAGGGGGGGAGAGGGCTGAAGCAGGGAGAGGGGGGGAGAGGCCTGAAGCAGGGAGAGGAGGGAGAGGGCTGAAGCAGGGAGAAGGGGGGAGAGGGCTGAAGCAGGGAGAGTGGGGGAGAGGGCTGAAGCAGGGAGAGTGGGGGAGAGGGCTGAAGCAGGGAGAGGGGGGGAGAGGGCTGAAGCAGGGAGAGGGGGGGAGAGGCCTGAAGCAGGGAGAGGAGGGAGAGGGCTGAAGCAGGGAGAAGGGGGGAGAGGCCTGAAGCAGGGAGAGGAGGGAGAGGGCTGAAGCAGGGAGAGTGGGGGAGAGGCCTGAAGCAGGGAGAAGGGGGGAGAGGCCTGAAGAAGAGGGAGGGGTGAGAGGGCTGAAGCTGGATGCAGAAACTACCGTTGTTAGAAGAGATGCTTAACTTAGACAATGTGGGCGCAACTTTAACTGTCCAAAACTCCAGCGAACCAACCCGCTTCAGGTGTATGACGTCATCAACGACTAGTCAAAGTCGACTTGATTTTCATTACTTGACTGTCGACTAAAAAATATTAAGTCATGCAGCGCCTATTGTCTATGTAATAGCCCGTCATAAAGTCTCATAGCAATGGTGACAGGGCTCCTATAAATCCCAAACAGTTTTAGGTGTAATTTTACAGATTATTTAGCAAAATCAGCTAAGCAAATAACAAAAACAGTCCAGGTTAAAGCAGTTTATGTAAATTTAAAGAACAAATTCAGACAGTGGTCAGTTAACACGACAAAAACTGTTACAAAACAATACGGTAAATGGCCTGTATTTGAAATAGCGCCTTCTAGAGTCCCGGAACCCCCCAAAGCTCTGTACAACACAATCAGTCATTCACACATTCACACCTGGTGGGGATGAGCTACGATGTAGCCACAGCTGCCCCGGTGTGCACTGACAGTTGGCTAAGACACACATCCTGTGCTGGCCATTAAGTACATCTTTGTGGACAGGACACGTGGTTTTTACAGCTGTGCTTTGTCCCCAATGCAGAAGTGATTTGTCAGAATTCCCACTTTGGTACCGGTGCAGATTTAAAGCAGTCACATTCTCAACTGCAGCATGAAATCAACTGAAAAAAGCTCAGCGGCCTAATGGTAGAATGTCAGCAATGAGGCTGGGAGACTGGAGTTCAAATCCCGGTCGGGTCACACCAAAGACTAATGGTACCCAACGACTCCCCGCTTGACACTCAGGTGTAAGGGGTTGGATTGGGGGTTAAACCACCAAATAGTTCCCGAACACTGCCACAGCTGTAGCTCACCGCTCCCCACGAGGACGGGCCTAAGGCGGAGATGAATTTCACCAGTGTAAGTAAATTTTATCTATATGGCACTCATCATAAACAGAAAATCCCAAAGTGCTTCACATAGATCAACGTGTGATGAGTATGGGACTTTTAAAAAAAGTCATTTCATAATATGTAACCTTTAACTGAAAAAAATTATCTATGAAAACAGTTAAGATTGTGCTTATTTTATCAATTATATTTCATCTATTTACTTGTTTCATAACCGTGTCTTACTTTGTAAAGGTACTTTAAATATTTCCGCTACTTTTATTTTGAAAATACGTAAGCACTTTCCTCCCCCAAAACGGATGCAGAAACTTGTCAACTGTACACTTTGTGAAGTTTCACACTAGCCATTATAACAAGAAAAAAACGCAATGAAACCTAGAAAATGATTTGTAAATGCAGCGCTGTGGTCTAAAATCACCTAGCAGGACCGGAACAGCGCGTATTCGGACATGTAAGTTATTCACATGGGCTGCAGCGCGACAACGGGTTATCTGATACCATGGGAACAAGGTCGGAGAAAGCAGCATATCCGTTTGAGTTTCCTCTGCGCATGCGTACAAGGGTGACTCAATCGTTAAGAGAGAAATGTCAATTTTTATTACAAGCAGACATTTCCAGTGAGCTCAGTATCGAACCATTTATTGATGCGAAAAAATGGAAAAACAGCCGACACGAAACGAAAGGCTCCGCCATTAAACCCCGAAGGAATGGGCCACTTGTGAGGCTTGGCCGAAATGGTGAAAGGGCACGAATCCGCTTCACGGCATGAAATGTGGCGTCAAGAACGAAAACAACAAGACCACACACCTTATTTCAAGGTCGATAACTATTTTACTTAAACTTCCACGCAACTTCAACACGAGCCTTAGCCCAGCCACATGATTAGCTTCGTGTAAACTTGTGTCCGTCTTAAAAATACAAAAACTTGCTTCTATATAAATATTATTCCGAATAAGAGCGTTGGGTGCGACATAAAATTACCTTGATGCTCTAGCTGCGGTCCGGAGGTCATAAGGCTCGCGTAAAACTCAACTGGATGTCGACGCTTCAGATGACTCCTCAGATTGGTGGTGTTGCCTTTCGCTAGCACTATTTTTCGGCACAAACGGCAAACAGCCTCTTCGGCATTCTGCGGTCGACCCATTTCGTCCGCTTTGAAGCCAAAGTAGAGCCACACCAGCGACTTTCCTCTTGGTTTCCCGATCAGATCCATGTTTGTGCGGCCCAAGTCTCTGCAGCCTGGCTGCAGCACAGACACCATATACGTACACGCCCCGTGGACTGGCGCTGCCTAATGGAGCTTCCGTAGTGGCCAGCCGCCATCTTGGATAGGTCTCCATTCGCAACCATTGCATTAATTT